CCTTTTTTGTTTACAATACGTACAAGTTACGAGATGAAATGTTTCTACAGCTGATTCCCGGCCTGTCTTTGATGTACAAAACGACATCTCCAAGCCGGGTGCCCAGCAACGAGCTAAATTGATCTATGCCAGTGCGAAAACATCTAGGTCAATGGGAGATGAACGGAGATGTCGATAGACGAAGCTATAAAAGCAACGTCATATCTGGCAAAACAAAACAAAACAAAACTAGATAAAGTCACAACTGCATCAGAATGAGCGGTGTCACCATGTCACCAGAGGAACCTGTTATCGAACTCGAGTCAGAGTTCTTAGCAAAAGGTAAGCCGATGGCAAACGGCCGATCAATCGCGGTGAGGCCGGTGCATGTTCGGAATGTCGTTTTGTTCGGCTCTCGAATCCGAAGATATCTTACCGAAGCCGCCGGAATAGGTGGCTACCTCACCGTGTCAAAAACAGTGGCTCCTGGGGCATTACCCGCCATAGCCTTTTGACAAGTTTGTGCGCGGGCGGTAGTGGCTTTTTGAATGCCAAAAATCACATCCCAGCTTCATGGTAAGATGGCAGAGGGAAAAGTTTTCAGCCCGAGACGTGAAGCCAAACCCCCTCTTCTTACGCGCGCTGGACGGGAAGGATGACCAGCGTTAGAGCATAATCGAGGTAGTGAGGGAACGTCATAGTGCAGTCGGACGCAGCACCGAGTTATCGAGAAAGTAGGTGTGTGTGCGCGTGTGTGTGTGTGGGAGGAAAGAAAACTCGGCAGCCTGATGGAAGAGAAAAAAAGAGACCGGCTTTTAACTGACTGGCTGAAGGTCGGGCAGCGCGCTTAGAAGGCGGGGCAGATGGGGATTTTTGGGTGAAATTTTTGTGATCCGATATCGAGCCCACCGGCCCAATCACACGGACGGGATAAACGGAGGGCAAAGGGCATGGCAATTGACACATGTAATTAATTAACCGTTGGCGACAAATCGGCAGTCAATCAATCAAATCAATCAATCACTCGATCGTCAAGCAAGCAAGCAGTGCATCCATCCATTCGCCAGTCACTCTCTCCACAAAAATCGAAGGCGTTCGCGTGCCATTTCCCGAGTTGCGCATTTGGATAGGCCGGTAGTATATCAGAAGTTGGGTATGAATGAGGGCGCACGCTTCCAATTATATGAGCACGAGGCTCGTCGAGCGGGCGCGCAAAGGGCGGCGCATGCTGAAAATGAAGATACACTCCGGACCGAAGGGACGCGACTAAGATAGCCCAGCCCGTGGCGCTTCTTCAACGACGATTATTGCTGCATGGGGCTGCAGCTCGCACACACTTTACCTACATACTTAGGCCTAACATGCCTCGCACATTGCCTACATTGCACACATTCATCAGCTCGTTTCTCCGGGCGATGCCGATCGTGTCGGGCCGCAATTGCGGCGCGCCCAATTTGTCTGTAGATCTTGTCGGCGGTCTTCAGCTCAGCTCCCAACGCAAAGCCAAACTGCCTGGCGATGGCTTCGTCGGCATTCGTTCCTCTTCGCTCTTTCGGTGTGGGAGACGAGCAAAAGACGGCGAGGGGTGTGCTTTCTCGCTTCCCTAGACATGTGCGCAGCACGTTGGACACAGCGACGGCCGACCTGTCGCAGAAGTGACGAAGGCCAAGTTTTAGCTTGCTGGGCTCGATGCCCTCGCCGACGTCCAATGAGCAGAGGGCGTTTGGTGTAGTTCTAGAAGATCAACTATTTCGAGATCCGGTTTGGCGCTTGTGATTCCTAGGTCGTCTCTGCCAATCATGGCGCGTCTGCGATTCCGATCCATTTTCGGTCGACCTGAAGACAGTGCGAACGCCACGCATCCAACTCGCCTCATCCATCCCCCCAACTTTGGCTCCGTGGGCTCTTGATCTGGAGGCAACGTTGGGTGGAGAGGCTGGGCTGGGCTCGTCCATGACTAACCTCAAATTGCATCATATCCCAGCCGCACGCGACGGGACAATGCGTGTGTGAGTGAGCATGAGAGAACGAGTAAGACATGTCTGATCCGCGAGCTGAATGGACCGCAAAGTGTCGATGAGATAGGCCTAGAAATCGGGGCTATTGCTCCCTACGACCTTTCCAGGCGCCAGGTGGGTGTCACGAGCTTTTGATACGGTCAGATTGAGGCGCAGGTTGTGTACGAGCACAGCAAGCACAGGTATGGATGTTTATACCGTATCGCACGTGTAGCTGTGCGTGCGTGCTCATCACACTGCAAAAGGAGCCTGCAGTCTCATCTCCTGGCTCGGTGCTACTACCCGACTCATCTTGCCGCGAGCGAAGACGAAGACGACCTCACCCGGGCTGTTATGCAGCAGATATACGTGCTCCGTACAGACGGGGAGCAGTAGCACCAGGTACAGATGCCTTGATGCCCTGCAAAGCACCGTATTAGTGTCAAACATTCGACATTTGATCATACATGTGCCTGTAATTCCCCCTTGAGCCGCCGCGTCGGGGACCATCCCCATTATGCAGCTGGGCCTGGGACAATCAGATTCGATGCGCGGTCATCGCAATTTCTGCTGCAGAAGCGTCTCAATACGGACGCAACACGGTGGTATTGGTTGAATGGATGGACGAGGTCTCGGTCCAGACCACCCCTAACACGCTGCAACAAAAAGCCCACCTCGATGGTGGCAGCCAATCGTACAGGCATGGCTGGCGCCGATCCTCTTTTAATAGCTCCTGGTTCGAAAGGGAAGCTAGGACAAGTCATTTGTTTGGGAAATCAACCCAGTGCCAGTGCCTAGCCGTCAGCCATTTGACGAGTCAGATACACCTACTGTGTTCCCCACGTAAACCCCCCATGCCCATTCCCTTCATCGCGATTTATCGGCCTAATGGTGCTGCTACCATCCACAGAACTAATCTCGACTTGTACGCTTTGCACTGATCTTACACTAAGGTGATGGAGTCGCCTATTAATACTACCTACCTAGTACTCTTCGCTGCAGCCCTTGGTCTGGAGTAGCTAACTGCACATGTACAAGCACGAGGACTCGTTGATATTGTGGTGGAGAGAGAGCACCACATGCCAAGACAAATTCCAGTACTGTGACCGTGGTCGAAACGGAAGGCCTTTCTTTGGAAGTGGAAGTGTTATGGATTCTATCCGGCACAAGTGTGAGCATGTGCAGCATCGTCCATGGGCAGAAGAGCACGAGCAATTACGTCACTAGGGGTCTGCTTTCACACGCCCCTGAATTCACCTCCGCGGAGCAAAGACATCGCCATGCAATGCGCAAAGGGCTGTTGGCCGTTCAATTTCGCAGGATTGACTTTTACGAGCTCTAGGCCTTGTAGCGATGGGCCGAATGCCAATAGGTGGCCTGCAGGCTGTTCTGATACAAATCCTCGTAATGCACAGACATGAATAGTGCTGGCACAAGTCACATTGCTGCTGCCTTGAAGGGTTCCATTTACAATTTGGTGCAGCTCTACCAACCGCCAAGGTGAGTACGGCATGTATGTTGTCAGCCAACTGGATACAGGACATACAGGACAAGCGTCCCTTACACCTGCAGGAAGGGATTGCTCGGCCATGTCATTACCGAACGCTCTCTTCGTTGCAACTGTACCGTACATTTTGCCTGCAGCCCCCCGTGGTCGCACAAGGTGAAATAAGGTACTGACAGCCTCATCAGCTAAGGGGATGGAAGCAGCAGAAGCGCATCACGCACTAGTCAGTCGCCTCTGGAATTGCTCAATCCTTTCCTCGGTACCGAATGCCAGCCAATATGCAATGGTACAGTGCATTTCATTACGGCGTATCAGCTTATCTGCACCATCCCTGTACTAATCAAGGTGACAAAGCCCCCGTCGTGACGAAAAGTACCACAGGCACGGACCGAGTACCGTTCCCAAAGACGCAGATGACGGTGGAGAACGCCTCAAAGGGGTGGCCAGGCACAAGAAACCAGCAGCGAGTCTTCTGGCACGGCCAAGCACATTCTATCATGGCTATCCCGTACGCAGTATCCCGCACTCAGTTTCGCCATGTCCTTTGCCCGCATGTTGACCAATATGTCAGATCGTAACCGACGTTGCTACCAGCCGCTTGCACAAACGCAGCTTGGCATGACAGGCAGTGCAGACGAGAGGAAGCGGCTGGGCGGCGATCAAAGGGCCGCGTGCTTCGTATCGAGGGGAGCAGGCGTGACTCGAAGACGACCAGACAGAGTCTGAGAGACAGACAGACACACTGAATGAGAGAGAGAGAGAGAGAGAGAGAGCGATCGGTTGCCCGGCCACCCCAGCCTGGCTAACAAAACATCATACCTTACCTATCACATCCGCGGAATACCAAAAAGGACACAAACCAATAATAACTGACATCGAGCTACAGCATGGTACATACGGTACGGTACGGTTCGGATGCAAGAATCGAACAGGGCATCATTCTTCAGGGTCTTGCTTGGGCCAGAGCATATCCGGAAAATTTCCCCAGGGATCATCGGCCAGAGGCTATCAAACGCCAAACGGGTCCCCACACCACGGAGCATAACGGCTGTTGGGATTGGGTTTTTTCATGCCGCGAATAGCGAGGACATGATCGGTGGAGAGGGTCAACTGCACGAAATTGTTTAGTTGAAGGCCGTGGCAGGGCGGGCGAATGGCGCAATGCGCTTCGAGTCCTGCTAGCTAGGCTTTGAAGAGGTTGTGCCCGTCGAGCGCCAAGGCCAAGGTCTACCGCAGGCGCTTCTCGATACGGGACCGGCTGGGGCTCGAAAGAGGACAAGACGCCGCGGGATCTGAGCCTGTAGCGTACGGAGCACTACTTTTGTTCTCCGTACTTGCATTGTACGGATATCAGAACTGGGGACGGAGCAATGCGTCCATGTCCGTATCGTTGGAGTCCCAACTGGGCTGTATTAAGTCGGCAGTCGGTGCGAAATCCTGTGAGCTCGGCCGAAAGCTGTGCTGTACGAGTACTGTACAGTACTGTACAATAATGGCATGGCACCTTACATGTAATAATGCGTGAGACATGGGTACAATCACAATCTACAGCAGAAATCACCCAACGGCAGTTTGTTGTTGGTGTTGCGTTGATGACGGCTAGAACGTGCAGTGCATTACCCATAGGTGAGGTAGGCAGGCAGCAGAAATTGCCCCAGAGTGCCGCCGATGGCCGTCCCCCGGGTACCAGTGGTACCAGTACCTACCTTAAGCGGGCATACAGGTACCTACAGCACCTGCTTTGTGCTAAGGCACCTTGCCTCGATGGATGCAGGTACCAAGCGCTTCGTACCCCCGACTAGCTGGCTGTCATTGCCCCCCTCTCTCGCGCATCCATCCATCGCATCTTGAAGAAGAGAGCGAGAGAACAAGACGGACGAGACGGTGGGCGATTGGGATTGAGCTTCCCGGGCTGCTCCTCCACGCTCGGTCGCGCACGCTGGCCCAAATGGCAGACGAACGGGATTCTACGGCTTCGGGCGCATCCCACTCATGCGACCATGGACGGCTGCACACCATCACGACGACGCATTACCACTACAGCTAACCACCTTCGCCCTGTGCGCCACGCATCTGGAGCCCCGTGTATCATTTTGCACTTTCGCTCGAGCGGAGCCGCCGCAAGCCTGCAGGATCCGACCTGGCACTGTACGGTACAAGCACTGCGCTGCGAAACTGAGTGCTTCTATGCTTGTCTGCATCGGCGTCCCACGCGCCTTGGGCTGGAAGAGGCATGGCGGCGTCGAACCTGGGACATGGGGCTCAGAGAGCCCGGGAAGCTCCCTTGTCGACAGGTCGAGTCGAGTCGCACCCCCGGCCCCAAGCAAGCTGTGACAACCGTCATTGTGCCAACCCACCGTCGGCCAGTGTTTGATTCAGGATGCTGTTTTGATGGAAATTCGGGGCCAAGCACGAGCCAGAAACTGAGCTGACTGGCAGCAAGGCGATTGAACCAAGACAAGAGAGGCTCGTTCCGTGCTCCGTAGGCCCTACTCGTTCCATGGTTGCATGCTGTCCAATACATAGGACCTACATATATACGGAAACACTGCCCTCTCGACGGGCTGACGATCTTGCTCCCGCTTTTTTATTTTCTCTCTTGCTCCTGCCCGTTCATCGTCTTACACGCATCAGACAGAGATCCAAGAATAAACCAGCGGTCCTGAGCTGAGCTGAGCCCGTCCTGTCCGCGGCGACGTTGGTTGGGCGCCTCCTTTGCCTCCTTGCATCTTTTCATCTCTTGTCTCATCTCTCGATCCTTGACCTTGACTTCTTCAACTCTTATTTCTTGATTCCGATTCCTTATTCTCGGCATCAGTGTCTCTGTCTCTGTCATCAATCACCATCTACTACCTAACTCGGGCAACATTCTTCAGCAGTCGTGCTATCCTCATCTGCCGTCATTGCCCCCCCTCCGCTGCTACCACCATTTCTCACGTTACCACGGCTATTGTTACCCGCGTGCGCGCACAGCAGAACGTGTCTGGCTGGATCCGCCTACTGCTGCAGGTTGACGACACTGAGCAGACCCCGGCTGACCTGGCTAATTCGACCTTGGGTACCAGCTTTCTGAGCTAGTGGCTTCGCAGAGCTGGCGCCAAACTCGCTTGCCCTTCCGCAGCTGTACCTGTACGGACACACGGCAGACACGGGAGCAGCACCTCTTGGACGGTTACCGTCTGCCGCCACTCGATTCCGGCTCACCACTTTTTAATCAAATATTAAAGCATTGGCGCTGCCGCAGACGCAACCCCTGTATTCGACCAGTTCAGTTCAGGTTGCTATCTAACTCAGGTATCTGCCCACTTTTGACCACTCGAACTCTCAGCTGTGCACCCAAGACAAGACTCGATCACTTTGTACTTGCACTTGTACTCGCACTTAGACCCTGCAGCGCGGCATCCAAGTACAGCTACCTCGAGGTTGCAAAGCAACGCGGAGAATTGCTTGCACACATTACCCACCTCCCCTCCCATTTCTCTCTCGTCACTCTCCTCTTTCTCTCTCTCCTCTCTTGTCTTGTCTCGTCTCTCTCTCTCATCTGCCGGCACCGCGTCTGTCTGCCAAGGTTCCCGTTCACTTCAGCTCTGCAACACAAGTCTTCAACCTGGGCGGGTTTGGCATTCCCCTTTCTAGCTACTGATGCGCCTGTAGCGCATGCAACTGTGCATCAGTTCCCACTCTGCCTACTAGTAGCTACAGACACCCCCCAGGTTCGGCGGAATAGCGCAGACGCACACGCACACAAAATTGCTTCGGCCCTGTTTGCTCGACCCAACTTGGCCCTGCCCTTTTCCCCGTGCCCCGAGCCGCCGATCCAGAGCCGAACACCAGCCCGCCAGCGACCTTTAAACTCTTCTTCTAATCCATCACTTTTGAACCGCAACCCGCCCGTTGTCCTCACTAGAACCGCAGTTCCACAGCCTCATCCATGATGATAATTGACGGCGAGAAGTTTGCCTGTGAGGCTTGCGTGCGCGGCCACCGCGTCAGCAACTGTCAACATTCAGGTGAGTCGCCCGCATATAACCCAGTCAAAGTGGTTTTCTGCCCCGCGGCCGGCATTCTCCCCTCCATCTCCAAAAAATACTATGGTGTCCTGGTCTTGAATTGGCTTTTTTGGTCCGTGTCGGCCTCGAAGCTGCCAGTCGGCGGAGGCTATACGGCCAAAAACTCTATCAAGGCTTGTGCCACCATGGGCAACGCAATCACAGAAGAAGACGAAAAGACTTGTCGCAAAAGTCAATTGCTGACTGACAGCCCTGCAGGTCGTCCTCTTCAACACATTAACAAGAAGGGCCGTCCCGTCTCGCAATGTGCGCACTGTCGCTCGCAGCGCAAGTCCCGGTCCGCTCACATCAAGTGCGATTGCGGCGAGAAGACGAGCAAGTGCGTGCACCTGCAACCGCCCGTGGACGGACACCTTGGTGAGTTTTACAGTTTTACAGAATACGAGGCTGCGTGTCCTCCACAAGCTCCCGGTTCTAATCTGTCATCCTGTCATGCAGAGACGTGCTGCTGCAACCATGGCGGACGATGCACCTGCGCCGGAAAGAAGGACGTGGCACTGGACACCGTGCCGGAGTCCGATTCGGAGGGCGAAATGCAAAAGGCAGCCACCCTGCCTCCTCGACCAGTTCCAAGACGGCGACGGGCCAACACGATTCACTCGTCCGACATTGGCATGACCTTTGACCAGCACGGCCACCACAAGCCGGCCAAGCACAACCGTGCCTCACAAAAGTGCGGGCCGTATCAGCTCAACAGGGTCAACTCGGCCGCCAGCACCGGAAGCCTTGGCACCAGCACCGACAACCTGCTCTATCAAGCACAGAACGAGGGCCACGCGTCGTTGCAGCACAGCTTCCTCGCTCGGGAACAGCGCCTGGTCAAGTCGGAGGCGACTTCCCCTCTCATGTCTGCCTCCACCTTTTCGCAGCTGAACGGCAACCTGCCTCCACTCGATCTTTCCGGCATTTCAAACTACTCTACCTATGCCGGCAGCACCAGCTTTGACCTGTTTTCCAGCGGCCTTCCAGATGGCGACGGGCCCATCATGAGCGCGAGCCTGGCCCAGTCAGTTGATTGGAGCCACCTCGACCTGAGGGAAGCAAACGGCGAAAGTTTCACCCCCTCGAGCTACAGCCAGGCCGGCACGCAGTTCACCGGCCAGCTCGATTTCGGTAGCGGCTCCGAGCAGCTGCCCAACCTGGCCGGCACAAGGTCCACGTCCGGCGACGTCTCTGAAGTGGAAGACTTCATGCCCGGCGGCGAGGGCGACTTTGAAGGATTTGCCACCAGCAGTAGCTTCCTCCGACCAAACGTCGACCTCACCAGTCTTGATTACAGCCTCTTCGACAAGACCGACAACCAGGCTCTCACCGGCGACTTTTCCACGGTCGAGGACGACCCCGCCTTCTACATTCCCAACTACAGTGGCAACGTCGCTGCGGTAGAGGAGAACACCGACACCCTCGGCGCTGGCTCATTAGGTGGCTACTGGGAAATGTGATGACATTTCGGGCTTTTACTTTCTATTTGGGAATACATTTCCCCCCCTTTATTGTTTGGTCTTTTGATTTATTTATGTTTTACCTGGCGCACAGAATACCCCAATGGTGGTTGGCATCTTGAACGCGTTAACGACAGAGGCGTTGGGAACCCGCTATATACAACGACACAAAAAAAAGGGCATTTATGGTCTGGAGGGCGTACACCTGATTCATTCGGTCGGCTATACTTGAGCGACACTTTTTTTGCGAGCATCCAAATTTCCTTGTTTCGCTTCTTTTGGGATCGAGGTGGCTGGCTTGGCTCAGATTAGGCTGCTCCGGAACAGCGCCTACGCCTACGACTCAACTCGAGCCAGCCTCTCTTTCCTTCACCCTTTTTTTTCCCGTCCGCTGAAACACCGGCCCTGCGGGTTAGGAAACAAGCGGACACCTTTTTTTTCCTCGTCTCTAGAAATCATACAATGGGGCACGGGCTACAATTTGTGGGGTGGGGACCAGGGGCAACTTAGGAGGGGGGAAACGTGGGCAATGAAGGTGGGACAAGGCTTCGGTGTCTGGGGTTTTGATCGGTGCGTCGCTGGGCTGTTTTTTCTCTCTTTTACTTGCTTGATGACGCTGGATCTGCGTTGTTGGGTGGAGGGTCCCATGCGTCTGCTACCTGATTTTTCTTTTGGATCTTTTCTCACTGGCCTTAGCCGGCCCAATGGCTTGCTTGGCTTTACGAGGACATGATGATGGCTTTTTCTCTTTCTTGCTGCAAGCCCGCACTTGGCGGAGCATTGTTCAGAGTCGCTGCACATATTACAGTTTTATGGGACAGATAGACCGTTGTTTATTCTCGGGACGACCTAATAGGGGTCGCGCCTTGAATTCTTTTTTTTTTATATCCTTTTTGATCATTTGAATCATGTCATGTTTCAGTATATAGACTCTGCGCGCAACAATAGAAAGCAGCGACTTTGATCTAAAACAGCAACTTCTGGGAGTCTCACCTACAGCACAGACAACGCCACCGAGGCAGGGCATTTTACGGCCCCAACGGCTATGTAAATTGGTGGTAATTGGTAGGTTGCCTGGCAGATGCCGGTCGTCTTGGCCGGGAGACCGCTTGGGGCATTACCTAACGGGCGTGCGAGGCGTGCGAGGCGACCAACACTGTATTGGCAGTCGATTGTTCCAGAGCCTCCGGAGACTGTATTTTAGAGAGTGAAGATTTTTTCTTTCTTTTTCTCACTAGACTAACGGGATAAGCTATCGGTGTAGTTGGTGTTAGGTTCAGGTACGGCAAGAATGTGTGGCTACGTGCTTCAGGAACCAAGTACTCCGTATGAATTAAAACAGACGAAAAGGCCCAGCAAACTACCTATAGTAGGTAAGGTTCTAGTACCTGTAACGTTTGGAAAGCTCTGGGGACAAGGCGTGCTACGTGCTTTGCTAGGACGGTATGGAACAGTTTTAAGGTCGAGGTACCCGCCACTGCACTAACGCCGCTGTCCAAAGTTCTCCATCTTGTTTCTGCTCGATGTCACTGGAGAAAAGAGAAAAAGCCAAGGTGGATTCTGCCAGAAAAGTCCACAAAAAAAGAAAAGAGGAACGGGGAGATCCAATGAGAGGAGGGCCGGGAAAAGGAAACCGAAACGAAAGTAATCCATCCCACTGAAAAGCTTTGGGCCACAGAGATCGGGGATGGGGGATTGAGAGGACGCGGCCGCCGTGCGAAACGGATGACGGACACAGGACATAGGCGGAATACGCAGATGGTTTGGATTTGCGCCCTCCTCTACCAAGTATTGTCCTATGTCATCCCATCTTTTTATCCTTAGGTGAGAGGGGTAGGAAACGGAGGAAAGGCAAAATGGGCAGATAATACTTAGCTGTAATAGGTTCGAGATACTGTATGTACATGCCGACATTCTTTCTGGGGGAGGGGAGAAATGGAGGGGGAGGAAAGATAATACTCCGGAATGTTAGGCTTTGCATATTACAGGGCGAAAAGAGCAGTGAGAGCAGAGGCCTAGGCCAGTCTGTGACATGCAGGAATTGGCTGATCTTGGCGTGGGAGACTGGACTGGGCTTGGTACATACAGTATGTACTCGTACAACTTACCAATTGAAGCGTTTTTTGGCTGCTAAGTTGATAGGTTGGTTTGGTTGGCTCACTGTATGTACGTGGGGTTTTTTTTTTTTTTTTTTTTTTTTTTCAGTTCGTTCGTATTGGAATAGAGCCGGATAGGCCAAATTGATACCGTGGCAATCAAAAGGCAAAAAAGGCTATTGATAGAGAGGAGGGGAGGGGGGTGATGCATTCACTCGCCGCCCTTTTTCGGTGTGCATTGTTGTTTGTGCTCTGTTCGTTTCCTTTGGCGCCCTCTCCGGGGGTTGGGGCAGATGGGAGAGCGGAAAGGGCCGGCGATCACCTCATGGGGGTGGCCAAGGGAATGTTTCGGGACAAGAAAACAGGAACAGCTTCAATTCGCTCTTGACGGCGGCTGTTGTTGGGCCATTTGGTACGGGCTTCTATTGGCTGGGTTAGAGTCCAGCCGCACACACACAGGACGCAGGGTCTAGCGGCAAAAAGAAAGAACAATTGTTTGAAGTAAAGAGGACGTTCGCTAAAAAGAAAATCCTGATTTTCATTTTGCTTGCCAGGGTAAAAAGCGAGCTCGGGTAATGTCAAACATGCAATCAAAAAAAAAAAAAAAAAGGTGGCACGGCAGAAGGATCCATACGCTGGACAGTAACTACTAGGCCTAGTACACAGATCCTCCCCATGGGACCATCTCAGCCTCACCGATCGACCTAATGCGCAGGGATTTGTTTTCATTACTCTTCGTCTGCCTAGTATAGCATCTACGCAGACAGCTTGACAACGTCCCGGCAGTGCCCATTAGCTAGCATCCTATCCTGCATCTAACGAGTAGTGTGTGGTCGTTCCGTGTATGCCTTTTGGTCAATCCAAGAGCAAGTCGACCAGTCATATCACCCTGTCATCAAGCCACAGGCTTTTGACACCATGGCTGCAGCACCAGGGCTGCTCTCCACCGCCATGTTCTCGCAGTATCATACCACATGCAAAACAGACAGGATGAGAAGGGGGAAAGGAATCAAACGGGGTCCTAATTGTACAGTCCAGGTTCAACCTCCTGGCATCACATCATTATCCAGACGCCATGTAATCAGCCAACAATACAGTCAACAATACCGTCAGTGTCTTCCTCCTCCTAAGCAACATCGAGATAGCCCGACGCGAGCGTGGGACCAAACGTAATGTCATCCGGGCCAGGCGCAATGCCCTCATGGGCCGTCGCCAAATCCGCCAGATGCTGCAGCCCTTGGCTTGCAGTAGCCTCCACCGACGACGTCGGCCGCAGCTGCTCGGTTAGCTTCTCCCTGACACTGTCCCAGTGCCCTCCGCTAGGCTTCTCCAGTATCTCCTTCATTAGCCGCACAGCGCCTTCGCGGGAGCTGTCCATCTTGGACAGTTTGGACAGCGACATGGTGACTAGGGACACGAAATGGTTCGTAAAGGGGCTCCTGAGATGCGCATTTGCTAGCAGCAAGGTGGCCAGCTCAGACGTCGGCCACAGCGTCTCAGTTGGCGTGGCCCCTGGTGTTAATAATGTCACCAATAGCTTGCAATGCCAGTATGCGAGATGCACCAATGGGTACGACGCAGCCTCGATGTGCCCTGGAAGATCTTCACGGTAGTTCTCAATGTAGTCCGCAAGAATGGCCGCCATGGCAGGTTCGGCGGTAGATGTGCCCGGCTGCATCGTGGAAATCACAAATGCAGTCCTATTTAGCAGCTTCGATAACCCTAGACGAATCCCCATTAGCAACAAATTATAGCGGCATGTTTCCTTTGCTGCTCCAACTCACGATTTAAATAGTAGCACACCTCGCCCAGGGTGTTCTCCAGTCCAGCGGGCGCAACAACGCTGCTGTCTGGGATCTGCGCTGGTTTTCCTGTTCCAGCCGCGTGCCAGCGATCCATCAGCACGAGAGACCACCAGATCCGCACGCACAGCTGATCGTCAGAGTCTGATTCTGAAGCAGACTCGATCGGCGTAAACTTCCACAGCTTCATCGTGTTCGCAAGCGCTACTGCTCTGGCTAGGAGAAACGGTAACTGGGATGAGGCGCGCCAGTCTGCGTCGATTATCAGGAGAAGAAGCGTTTGAGCATGCACAATGTCGGTGGCACGCGAGTGTGGCGCCTCGCTGCTCTCCCACTCGTGCAAAAGGGAACTCGCAGTTTGTGTGTCTCCTGATGATTGCCCGACTGCTTGAAGAGCTGTGATAAACGCCGTCCTCACGGTGGACGGGCATTGAGACAGCAAAGACTGAATCCTTGCCTTGCTGCTGGGAAGTATGGGATATATAGCTTGAACATGGGCAAGATAGCTGTATACTTCATCAGTTTTGGCTCCGGGAAAGGTAAGGGGGGTGCTTACTCATGTAGAGAATCTTCGTCAATCTCTGGTACCTCCTCTGTTTCCACAACCTGTGAGTCCATTGCTGCCACAGGTGGCTTTGGTGGCGCGCTGTCCGTCTTGATTGCCGCAGATGGAGGCGCCAGCGAATTATTAGCAAACGTTGGAGGTGCAAAGCCGTCCGAAGGTGTAGCGGATGGTATTATTGGTCGCGACTCTGGTCCCCATGGTGCCTGTCGAGGAGGAGCTGTTGCGTTGAAGTCGGTTGCTGATATGCTGGAGAACGGTCTCTTACGACCTGGGTCCTCGGGGGGGGCTAAGCCATTGTAAGCTCGATGGCTTCCTGGTGTCAAGAGTCGGTCAATTTCGTCCTGGGTAAGGCTACCTTCAGACTCTAGCTTGTTCTCGATGCTGTGTATCCTGTCTGCTAGCTCTTTGATATACCTGTCTCATATGTCAGTTTATCAGAGTATTCTGCAGCGGCTAATGCAATAGCAAGGGGGAAAAAAGAAAAGACGTGAATATTCATACCCCTTACTTGGGCCGCGCTTTTGGGGAACACGGCTGAACAGACATCGCATAGATGACCGGGCACAGCTGGAACAGGGGCTATCACCGGTATCTGATTGGGCGTCGCATTTGATCTTCTTTCGCCGGCACTCGTCACAAGCACGCGACACCTTTGATCGCTTTCTCGGTGGGATGCCGTCTCCTCCCATAGCATACGGTGGTAGCGGAGGTCCCACGGCAACTGGGAGCGCATGCGGCACCATATGATCTGATGCCGGTGCCTCGTGGACATACGATGGTGTCTGGTGCTGGTCTGGCTCGGGATGTGGCATAATGTTACGCATGCCCGGATCTTCCACGTTCATACTGGGATCAGTGGTTGGGATGAGAGAGGTTCCTGCTAAGCCTTGTCCAAGCTGGGCGGCCAGCTGAAGTTCTTCCAGGTTGGGCGGCCTTTGGATGTGATGCTGGGGAGAAGCCGGCTCGTGGGTGGGCATCTGGCCATGGTCTTGCTCTTGTGCATGAACCTGGGTAGGATCATGCTGGCCATGGGTCTGCTGGTGCTCCTCATGCTCATGAGTCTCATCGCGAGTGGCTGTATGATAGAATGGGCCTGCATCAAGGCCTTCAGCACCCGGCGAAGGGTACGACATGTTGTTGGCCTCCTCCGCCTCACCCTCACGACCGGGACCCATGGTTTGCCAGGAAGAGAGTTACGTGAAGCCTTTGTGAGATGGCAGTGGTGAGATGACAGTGGTGATGACACCCTGTGAGATTCTACGCAGAGTCGTGGGTGAAAATAGCCAGGGCAGACGCGGTTGTTACGCGATTGCTAGAGGCGATCCGACGCCGATACAATGCGGACACTGAAGCCATTGTCAGCCAGCTTGTCACTCGACAGCGTGTCTATGTAGGTTGGATTTGTCTTGTCTTTTTTGTTGCAGGCATCGCTAAGCTGCCGGATCGCTGACTTACACTCTATCGCATTGGAATACGGATGATGGTAATTGCGAAACTGGGCCGTTTGAACGGAAAGGAATAACTCGTCGCCGCGTGGGAATAGGCGACGGGATGTTGGTGTGCCCTTTTTCGCCTTTCCATTAGGCAGAGAGGGAGGAGGAAAGAATTTTCTCCGAGGCGTGGCGGAAAATATTCGGCTCAATTTTGCGTGCTTCTGTTTTTTGGGCCTCTGCTTTTGCTTCTGCCTTTTTCGGAGTACGTACTCCATAGTCTGCTCCGTTCTTTTGCCTCTGCTTCCGTTGTCGTTCCGGTGACCGCGCGCATGATGAGTCAGCTATCCCTTTGTGTCTTTGTGCATTAGTTACAGTAGTAATAGAACTAGCACGCGTATGATACAGGCTTGACAGGGTCTACAGGCATCAGGGGATTTGCTCTTAGTACCGGAGAATCCGATCCGACATCCGGGGGAGCTGCCAGTTTGCTTAGGTTGATTTGATGATTTGATTGATCTGTCAAGGTATTCGGAGTTCAGTACGGAGTACTGTAACACTGCTAGGTGCTATCTCGGCATTGGTGGTATTCTGAGTCAGCAGTCCCTTATCATTTATCAATTTATCATGCAACATTCCGCAGCGGGCAACAAAAAGAGGGTCAAGCTGCAGTCGAAGCTGCATAGAACCATGATTGCGTTTTATTTGCATATTCCCCCCCTAGCCCTTTGCCTAGCATTTGCTTAGCATTTACCTAAATTTGCTATCGAGTGGCTTGGCTTTTGCCTAGGCGCAAAGTAGGTCTACCTCCCTAATAGCCTTCGCCCTGCTTCCTCTGGGCCGGGGCCAATGGAGCTGATACCTCGGATACGTTTCAAGCCTCTGCCAGCTCATCACAACCTTGACCGTCATGCCTCTTGAGCCCTTGCATTGACACCATTTCCAATCATCGTCTGATACCTACGTGTGTTTTACGGAGTGCGTCGAATTTCTGCAGTCGGTCAAGATGGACGGTCTCCTTTGATTGCCATTCCGCTAGATGGATCCCTGGGTGCTGCTCATCTAGGCCATCGAGAGAGAGCTGCGAGTGTGAAGTCGCGTCCTTGCACACCGGCGATTGATCCATCTCGCACTCCCTGATCCGATACCGTAGCTTGCGGTTGCACTCTATTTTCGTCGCGTGTTGGAGCCTCTTCCGTCTCATGGAATGGACATCCTAGAGATACAAAAATGGGCCTTTATGCCTAATCTTCCGGATAACATAGCGCCGATCCGAGAGTTGCTCATCCGGTATAGCAAAATCCCAGCCGACGAGATTGAGCCTCATCTCATCAAGATAGTAAGTCATCTGTGCCTATCGCCGGTCATTCATCTGCTTATCTGATTGATTTTCATAGCGAGAAGCGGCTTGGGCGAGTTCGCGAATGCCCTTTATTGGGCGATGGAAGTTCTTAATAATACACGATGCCAACGACTCTCGCTATCAGCAGGCTCTTTTCCGCCTCAGACTATCTCAATCTCGAGACGCCCTGCTAGACCTGGGCTGTGGGCTTGGGCAAGCTCTTCGCCAATTCCGAGACGACGGCGTTGATGGATCACGATTATTCGGGCTCGACTGCAGTGCTCACATGGTGTCATCAGGCTATGATCTCTTCCAAGATAGGAACAGCCTGGGCGCCCATTTTACCGTGGGAGACTTGACCGACCCCGACGATCTAAGCTTGGAGGAACTCAACGGCCAGATCAGCATCATTCACGCCGGAAGCTTCTTCCACCTATTTAGCTGGAAACAGCAGTTGTACATCGGTAAACGCCTCGTCGACTTTCTGCAGCCGGGAATACGCAACGCATTTATATACGGCCGCCATGCTGGCGTCACCACCACTCGCGAGGTTGAGAAGAACGATTCCTCGCCCTATCTTCACAACCAGGAAAGCTTCCAGCGTCTCTGGGACGAGGTGGGAGAATTAACAAGAACCAAATGGAAGGTAGAGGTAGAGGCGGTGGGAGAAGCGGTCGCCTGGCTCCCAGGGAATCCAAAGGGCGCACATCCAGTCAATTTCACGATATACCAAGTTCCTAGAATTGAAATAAAAAAGAGTTGTTTATAACCTGATGAGTGCGATGTGCTTGCTTGCCAGTGACGATACCGATTTTCTCCCTCCTCAGCTTTCTGTTTTGTTTTCTGTATCTCTAGGTATTCAAACCCCAATCTGAATTGCATCCCATTAATATTACTACGTATGCTCTAGGAGTCAATGGCGATTGCTCCTAAAAGCTACAGTAACAGATAACGTATCAATGTTCATCCAAACTTTTGAGGCGCTCTTGTTGCCGTCACAACCCGGCGCATTGAGTTTCCACTCAACGAGCAAAAGACATAACATAAACAAAACACGCATACAACAAATAAAAGCCTAAGCAAGCTCACACATATATTTCTCCCATATCCCTAGCCATAAACACCATTTCTTCTCTCGCATCATTCACTCGCATCGCCTCAATATCAATCCAAGCATCTCTACATCTCGAGCTATCGCAGGGTAGGCCTGCGGAATTATCTCGGATAATACTAGTGACCTCACTGCCCCTCCTACAAGTCGCGTTCCTCCCGCTCTAGCTCTCTCGTGGAAACAGAATTGCTTTTGTCCCGTGATTTTGTCGATTGAGTCTGTATTCTTAGATTGGACTCCCGTGGAGCCTCTCTTGGGCTTACGGTATCATTGCGACCCTTAACACGGGCTTTGGTACCGGGGGAGGCCACAATGGACGGAGACTGGGATGAGGTAAGTGCTCCTTCGCCATGGCCAGCCATCACGACGTCTTGTACGGCATGGCTGTTCGATATCGGCCTGTGATTCTGTGATTCTGACGTCTCTACTTTTCTAGGTGGCCCGGGTGCCATTCCCGCCACCGGGCGTGCATGCGCTGCCAACACAAGTCACGACGATGACCTTCGATACCACCCAAGAGCTACTATGGGCTGGCAACGACTATGTACGATCAAGCAAATCGCAAATGCTCTACTCGCACGTGCAGGCCGCTGACAGGTTTATAACAGGGTCGAGTCACTTCCTTTCTAAGCTCCGAGCTTCAACAACATACTTCATTCAAAGCGCATCAGGCCACGGACGGACCGGTTCGGCAGATTCTCGTAAACAGCAAAGGCGTGATAGTATTGGGCTCCAAAGATGTACATATGGCGAACAGGAGAGGGCCCCCCATCTGGCATCTCAGACACGACGATATGAAGGACCTGAGATGCATGAGCTTTACCTCAAAGGGAACCGCAGAAATCATTGCTGCTGGTCTCCAAGACAGCATGTTTGTTATCGATCTCATTAAAGGAGAAGTCGTCAAACAAGTCCGAACGGAGCATCAGTACTCGATTATGAAACGTGGACGCTACATTTGTGCAGCGACGAGGAACGGATCGGTTGACCTCTTGGATCCTGTTACCTTTGCAGTTGTCAAGACCTGGAATGCTCATTCCGCCTTAATCAATGACATGGATGCTCAACACGACTTCATTGTTACATGCGGCTACTCGCTGCGCCAGGGACAGAATTATATGCTGGATCCCTTCCTCAACGTCTTTGATATCAGAAAGATGGCATCAATGCCGCCGATACCCTTCCCTGCCGGCGCGGCATATGTACGCATGCACCCGCGCATGCTCACAACCAGCATCGTGGTCTCTCAAAGCGGCCAAATGCATGTTGTGGATCTCATGAACCCTAACACAAGCAATGTGCGGCAAGCCAACGTACTTAGCTACCTCAGCATGTTCGAGATTGCTCCCTCTGGTGAGGCCATGGCCCTCACTGACGCAGAATGCTTGATCCATCTGTGGGGATCGCCATCAAAACTGCATTTCGTCGATCTACCTGCTCCTGTTGAATTTGCTACTCCCGAGGAGGCGATTCACCAGCTGGATTGGACGCCTGAAAGGTAAAGTTGCACATGTTCATATTCTCTATTACCTAGCTGGTTGGCTAACATGGCACAGTCCTCTGAACTCAGTCGGCCTACCATATTATCGACAAGTTCTTGCCTCTGCTTGGCCAGAATTACCCTCGGATGTTGGAGCTCCTCCAGTCAAGTTTGATACACAGTTCCTCGCGAGCCTTAAGCCTACCGATTTTGCACTCTATGGCCGGAATATGCGAGGCCTTCGGAGGAACCAACTCGAAGACACTCGCAGCGTACACAAATCCGCCAACTCTGGTCTCAAGGCACCAAAGTTTCTTAGCGAAAAAGCCCGGGATCTTGCCAAATCGGAATCGTCCAGTGCCGGAGATAAGACAGACGAGCTCTCAAACTCTCTGGCAGAGATGGAAGTTGGCAGTAGAAAATCAGATTTGCCCATGATGTACAGAAATGTCGAGATCAAGTACAGCAAATTTGGTGTGGATGATTTCGATTTTGGATACTATAACCAAACCCGACACTCAGGTCTCGAGATTCATATATCAAACTCATACGCAAATTCGCTTCTTCAAATTATGCACTTTACGCCGTTACTGCGAAACCTGGCTTTACAACATGCAGCTACCGCCTGTGTGAGCGAGGCCTGTCTTCTGTGCGAGCTGGGCTACCTCTTTGATATGCTTTCGAAAGCAGAGGGGTCAATCTGCCAAGCCACCAACATGCTAAAAGCTCTTAGCAACCAACCTCAAGCTGCACCACTGGGCCTGTTAGAAGAAGATACTCATTCATCATCCCTGAACGTAATGTTGCAGGGACTTACACGATTCCTCCTGGAGAAAATTGCGGGTGACTACAAGACGATGGCCCCGAATTCCCCTGCAATGGACAAGGCGCTGGCAACCTCGGCAACAAGCACCATTAGATGTTTCAGCTGCAGAAGTGAATATACCCGACCCGGATCGACCTTTGTAAATGACTTGCTTTATCCACCTATTGTAAGTTGGATTAACCTTGTACTTTGGTTGCTCTTTGCTAAATTGATACCAAGAAAACCCCTGGGCGAAATAATAAAGCGCCACGCATTACTTTCTCTCAAATTCTTAAGAGCAGTGTTGAGAGAGAAACAACATCAAAGGGGTGGTGTGGGAGATGCCAACGATACCAGACCATTGCAACCAGAAAGACCATTCACAGTGTTCCAGACGTCTTAATGCTTAATACCGCAATTACCGGCTCGGACCACCGAATGCTTTGGTCTACCCCTGGGTGGCTACCGGAAGAGATTGGCATCATTGTTGAGCAGGGCCTTTTCTTTTGCTACGAAGGAGAAGACTTGAAGCTTCACCTACAGCGTGGCATTCATAACATCACAGTCTACTCATTAATCGGAATGGCTATTAACATTGAGAGCGGCCAAACGCAAAAACCACATCTCGTGGCCATGGTAAATGGTAGGACGCCATTGCTCCCCCAGACCTCCATACCTCGTTGCTAACCTCGCTATAGTTGGTCATGCAGAAGCAGAAGCTCCCAGCCAGAGCCAATGGCATTTGTTCAATGACTTCTTGGTGTGCCCTGTCAGCACAGAAGAAGCTCTTACCTTTAACACTTCCTGGAAAGTCCCTTCGGTTGTTGCATTTCAGGTCAAGAAGGCAAATAACAAGATCGATAATGGATGGAAAAACACCATCGATACATCGATTTTGTACCAGGATTTCAAGTAAGCAGCACAGTCATTGACGTGATTGGCATGAGGGAAACGGAAAGCTAACCTTTGGCCTTTCAGTCCCAGTTCTCGCTCTGAGAGTAAAACGTACAAGCTCCTCGATCCTGCAACGGAACGGCCTGGTCCATCAACGATTGTGGCACTGGATACCGAATTCGTTGCTGTGCGGCAGCCAGAGATCGAGATGAACTCGGATGGCGAGAGAGAGACCATCCGACCGATAGTGTACGCACTCGCCCGCGCCTCTGTTGTCCGAGGCCAAGGCGAACACGAAGGGGTTCCCTTTATAGATGATTACATTTCCATCTCAGAACCCATTGTTGACTATTTGACGTCATATTCGGGCATCACTGAAGACGATTTGAACCCTCGTACTACGAAACACAGTCTTCTGCCCCACAAAGTGGTGTATAAGAAGCTTTGGATATTGCTCAACTTGGGCTGCAAGTTCTTGGGGCATGGACTCAAACAGGACTTCCGAGTCATCAACATCCATGTCCCCAAGGCACAGATCATTGACACAATAGATCGGTTCTACCTCAAGTCGCGCCTGCGAAAACTTTCGTTGGCCTTTTTGGCGTGGTACCTGCTCAAGGAAGACATCCAGTTGGAGACGCACGACTCCATTGAAGATTCTAGGACGGCCTTGAAACTCTACAAGAAGTACCTCGAGTTTGAAGATGCCGGCATTCTGGAGGCCATGCTGCAGGACATTTATCGTGCTGGCAGGGACGTCAACTTTAAGCCCCCTAGAAAGGATGGCATTGATGCTCCCAGGTCGGAAACACCGCCCCCGTTACCGGCGCCGGAGACTGGGAGCGCTCCTACGCCTACTCCTCCGCCAAGTACGCCAGCTAGAGTCAGGGGCTTTGGAAGCGGAGGTTGGACGCCGGGTAAGGCATCGCCTATGAGGTGACTTTAGTTGCATGAGCTGTTTTTTAGAGTAACGAGGATGAAGGGGCATATTGCATTTAAATTGTTTGGAGAATCTGTTATGGTCGATCTAAACAGACACAGGATTGTCAATTTATCATGTTGGAGATGAGAATGGTGCATCAGTCTATTCTACTTGTCTTCACAAACGGTGCAAAATGATAGGCACACAAGTATGGATGGTATCCATGTATGGAGAGAGATTAGGACAAATCAGTAAATATACATAATCCCGTAAATTTTTTACAGAAACAAAACATATCTGCGTTTATGCAATAAGACATCCCCTCATACCCCGTATTATAAGAAAGACTAACATATCCTGCAAGCTAGTCTTCCACCGTAAAATCCTCTTCACCCCCTTCTCCTTAAACATACCAAATCCGCTATGCCCTACCTCTTTTTGTTGATGCTTACCCTCCTAAGCCCCTATTCCAACTGTAAACAGCCCCAACGCGCCCCCCTTATAACCTAGAACGTCATCACCACCCCGTGCTCAGTCCTCGCAAACATGATGTGAACAGTAGAATTGGCACCACATGGCCTCTCGCATCCCACGAGCAGCAAGAGGAATCTGTGGAGGAGGGAGAGGGTGTGATGAAAAAGAATGATGTGCGTGTGAGTAGTTTTCAGGGGGATGTCTCGAAGCATATCAATACACTTCCAACGCCATATATGCATTACTCTTTCAATAACCGGTCGTCTCTCCCTCCTCGCTTGCGTGCATATAAGGATATAGATTAAATACCATCCACAGATGACGAATTTTTTTGGTTTGAGTCTTCCTTGTTCTCTTTGTCTCCTTGTCCGCTCTCTCTTTCGCCGTCGTGTTTCGGTATTGTTTCGTGTTAAAAGTCATCAATAAGGTGCAAGTCGTCTACGGTAAGCCATGGTCTTTTGCGCTGTCTTCCACTTGTGTCGTTCATAATTCCTTATAGTGTCGCTACGTAAGGTCTCGCTACGCTACAGCTCAGACTCGGCACCGTTGGCGGACAGAGCCATGGGGCTACCGCTGTGATTCTGTCGCTGGCGAAGGCGAGCGTTACCCGGTGGTCGTCGGCGGACCAGTGCCCGGCCGTTGACAGCCATGGACTCTTCGTCTTCCTCCTCGGAATCGGGGTTTTGCTCGTGGTAAAGTCGTGCCTCGTCCAACTCAGTGATGGTGTCTGGTCGGTCTCGCAGCCACTGCATCCGAGGGCCTGACCGTGCGCGCTCTGAGACCTTGAAGCCGTAGATTTTGGGTTCATAAATATGGGCACCGCCAAGACCTGGCGCAATGTTCTTTGCATACATGCCATTGAGAATGGTCTCATCATCAGGCACTTTGGAGTTTGTGCTTGACAGCACGTCGGCGCCGCGTTTGGTGAGATCGTATTCGGGGAATGTGAGGAGGAAGAGGGCTCCAAATGTACGGCCGAAGAAGGCGCCGTCCACAGTCTGGAACCGGCTGTTGGGAGGGACATATACGTCGAGGCAGGATGGGCAGAAGAGCTTGACTGTGTCTTCACCGGGAATGTCGGACAGGCCAACAGGCAAGGTGCGTGCCTGCTCGCAGTGCGTTCGTGGGCAGCAGCCGAAATGACCAAACTCGTACTTTTCGCTCATCTGCTGGATGCCCACCCGGGAGCAGATGAAGCGCTGGTGGATGAGGCCGTAGAGCATCTCCGCGGAAGACTCGATGACGGACAGGTCGCTGGCCATCCTGCTATGATGCCTCCGCTCTGCGCCGTGTCGCACGCCTGCACGGTCGGGCTCCTCCAAACCAGATTCGTTTTCGTCGTCATCCTCCTCGTCTTCTTCTTCTTCATCATCATCCTCTGGCTCGACATCGAGAATCATCTGGGCGCGCAAATTAGCCATGGTGGTCGAGATTTAGGAGCAGCATCCAATACGTCATCAGATAACGAGGAGAAGAGGGGAAACAAAGGAGTAGAATGAGTCTATATGTGCGCAACATACCTCGAGGGCCTCTTTGTACATGGCTACTTGCGTCTGCAGGCCCGTCAAGTTGAAGTCATCTTCGATAAACTCCTCGGATACCTCAGCAAAGTACTCGTGCCCCGGCAGAGCGCAAAAGCTCGAGATCCAGGACTCGGGCGTCCCCGAAGAGGTCGACATGGTAGCGGCAACAAGGGACAAGATTGGCCTTGTTGAATCACGGGCAGCGTGCGGGCTGGGGGTTGAAGTTTTGGGATTTTGAGGTTGAAGAGGTGTTTGGCTGGCTGAGGTGGGGTTCGGCGTGGTGGTATTATCGATAAAATCGATAAATGTGCAAAGTGGCAGGTCGCGTATGGGTGCGGTAGATACCCAAGTTTAGGGGCCTAGATTAGTGCCTGGGCGCCTGTTTTCTGGGCGTGGCGGGGTGATTTTGGCTCCAATGCAGCGGCCTAGGCGCGTATCTGGGCAGCTGGCCGTGATGAGAATAACAAGGAACTGAAGTGAGGCGAGCTGTGGGAAGGGCGGCCAAGTGGCGCGGCTTTGCTGTGTGTCGCCAGTTGATTTGCTGCTGGGGAATCGGCAGGATCACGCAGGCCTGGGGCCCGGATTGCGAGCGCTGACGGGGTTGGCGGCAGCCTCGTGTCAAGCCTGTGATAAGGCTGGGCTTTGACAAGATTCACTGTAAGCGTAGGTTTGGTCAAAGTCGCAATGGATGGACAGGCAGCGGTGTTGAGTGGGTTGGGCTGTGGTTGGAGAGAAAACACATGACTAAGAGGTGAGGCTGGCTGGATCGGCGCCAGATTTTGCCGGTTCCGGGCAGAGAGATGCGTGCGTGTGTCGAGATGAGACTAAGGTAGCGGGTACCTGTGCCAGATCAGCAGCCTGTGCATATGCTCAGGTAGACTCTACCCAGAGTAGAGCAACCCAGACCGAGCATCAGATGACGGACGATTCAATATTCAATCAATGCCTTCTACCTCCAGTCTCTTAACCACAGTTTTATCTCCCCAGTCCTTCAACATTCGGGCTCTTTAGGATGAAGGGGAGCTTGAGGGCTCTCCAATTCACACGTAATTGGACATTACAATCCCACAGAGCATCATCTCGCGCCTTTACTTCTGCAAATGGCCCAACGCCGTCCATTCCTGGAGCCATAGATGGGCTTACATTCGAAGAGAGCTTCAAAACTGAACGTCCTTATCTATTTGCAGATTCAAAAACATCTCCCACAGATACTCTCCCGGCTTTTCACAAGTGGTTCACAAGAGATGATAAGAACACATCTTTGTCTTCTTACATGGAACCTTTCCTCCAATGGGATTTCCCATATGAGCTGATAAAACCCGTCAACCGTGGATCTGAGACCATTGCCCTTTTTCATGACAGCTTGTATAACCAAGATGGTATTGGCCGAGACTTAGCAGCAGCTATTCAAACTGCCACTGCTGAAACCTCTCACCAACACCAATTCTTTCAGCTTTACGCACCTCTGAGGCTCTTGGTTAGAGCAGTCGAATTCAATAAAGCCCAAAGGTTGAAAGCGGACTCACTCGTGCAGCTTTACATTGCGCAATCTCTATTACCAGACCTTCCCGACGCACTTCAAAGCGATGTACCAGCTCCGGAATTGATTCGCCGAGTGGGAAGGGGCGATATTTACAGTTCTTCAATATGGTTAGGGACTGAGCCGACTTACACCCCGTTACACCGGGATCCAAACCCGAATTTGTTCTGCCAGCTGTGCAGTAGCAAAGTGGTGAGGCTTATGCCTCCCGAGAGAGGACTCGCGCTATATAATGGCGTGCAGAAGCAGCTTCGACGATTGGGAAATAGCCGAATAAGATCCACAGAGATGATGGAGGGAGAAGAGAGGGAGATGCTTCATAGTGCCGTTTGGGGAGACGAACCGATGGCAACAGATGCCCAAGAGGTGACACTACGTGCCGGAGATGGGTTATTTATACCAAAAGGCTGGTGGCATTCTATTAGGAGCGAGCAATCGGACGGACAGCTAAATGGATCAGTCAACTGGTGGTTCCGTTGAAGGTGAATGCAACATACGAAACTGCATGCCACTATTGTACCACTATTGATCTTCACACCTTCTGTACATAAACTAGACTAAGACCCTTTGATGGGTTTACAAATGATCCAATTGAGATATCCACAAGGCCAAATGAATTTGCGTCTCCCACTTTGTATCTCCCACGAGCTCGTGTCCGCACCACAGCCACGAAGGAGAGTCTCTACTTCCCCCGGTGTTCTCACCCTCAGACACGAAACTAGGCCATCAAATACAAGGACAAAAGGAATCATGGGGATAATGCAGGAAAATATGAAGATGGTCAGAGACCTCCGTTTCAAGGCAAAGAATGGCGCCATGGCTATTGCTCCGACTCCGAACATCAAAACGCTAACCGCACTTGCGAAGCTACGGTCTTGAAGCTCAAAGATGGTGAAACCATGGCTCGTATTGACTGTGTCTTTAAGAATGCCTCTTGCTAGGGTATCATCGAAGTGGTGAAAGGACAAGTTGAATAGCCGCATCACTTTCTTTCCGTCCTGGCGTTCCACTAGATACTTTGGAGCATTGGTCGCATCCACAGACTGACTCTCGTAGGTGATATGTGGATTTTTATTTACGATTTTCTCCCATGCAGTGACATTTGGGTGTAAGTCGGTCAGGATGAAGTCTACCGGAAGCTTGTTTTGAGAGCTGAGATGGCTGTTGATAGCTTGCTGGATCGCGGGTATAGGTCCCCCACCGCCGGCACAGAAGTCAATGAACGTATAAGAAGAGAGTGAGTTACCGAGTTGGCGGATAAGGATAGATGCAGCGATACGAGCGGGAGATTCGGGCTGGAGAGGCGTATTGGAGTTCCACGCCAAAGTGAGAGCATCCTGGACGTGGCTGCGTAGGAATGAAGGGAACCTAGAGTCATCCAACGTTAGAGGCCTGTTTAAATCGCATGATATGTCCAAAGTACTCAATTGTAGGAAAATCAAAGCTGTACTAATATATTGAGCTGGCGATTCAACATGGAGAGACTCTTACCATGGCTGGTCATCGATCTCAAAGAGATGCAGGCGAGGTATGAGAGGTGCCATTTTTTGGCTCTTCTTGATTTAGGCTCCTATACAAAGAAAGGCAAATGAGAATAGAGGCTCGTTGATATATCGATTTTGTTTACATCTGAAACCGAGGCTGGTGCATCAACTTTTTGGATGTGCATGCATGACGAAGTTGGGTTGCATGAACCCCTCAACACCCCAACATTTATTCGCTTGTTGGACTACTAAGGTGGCGAGAATCCTTTTTTTTAGTAATTAAAAGAAGAGCTAGTATAAAGGAAAGATTTGACGAATCTGTAGAATAAAACTATAGATCACTCTGCCTATGCGCTTTCTATATTCTGTCTCTGCATTCAATTCAGCTTTCTTGATTAAGCCCCAATTCGCTCGAGTTACGTAGTGTCAGTATATGGATCAAAGCCTACTTGTTGCTTCGTTTCACTCCTAGCCCTCCACATAGCCTCCCCAGTCAATCCTGTCGTTGATGTTTCTTCCAAGAAAAACGTCAAGATGTGATCTGGAATAGACAAATGAGAAGCTTGCTGGAATTCCTGAAGGCCGGCTAGCCGAATAAGCATCTCGATCAAAGAGAGCGATGTAGTGATAGCCCCGAACGGTGACCGCGAGACAAAGTCTTGCGCCTCGCTGGCTGAATCTACTGTCAAGTCTCGCGATGACTGTCCAACCTTACTGTCTGATTTGCTGAGGATAAGGCCGTCGCGTGACGTAGGGTGAATGGAGAGGTTCTTGATCTGGGAAACTAGGGTCGAGTCCATGGCAGTGCGAAGCCGCGGCGACGTTTTCCCTGGTGAATGGCCGCTTCCATCAACTTCATCTGATAAACCTGCGTCGATGTCCGAATTTGAGCTTGTATCGCTCTGCTCGTCGTCTTCTTCAAAAACCTCAAAAGCTATCCACTCGGGATCCAGATGTTTGGGAAGAGCAGTGACGCAAATGTCTTTGGCCTTCTTAGAGCTTTGAGAAGTAGGTGATTTTGACTGTGACTCTCCGAAAAGTTGTTGGTCTACATCAGCTTGGTTATATTCGTCCATTTCCAACTTGCTGTCATCATCACTAGTATCGGCTACTTCGCCATGCATAGCATATTCTGGCCTCTGCAGCCGAGTTGCATTGATATCTCGTTTAAGTAGTAGAACTGGATTATTCTCTCCATCTGTTCCGTCTCCAATGTTGAGTAATCTGCCAGTGTCGGTGTAGAATATCTTGGCGAATTGATGGATGGGAATCAGCTCACGTATACCAGCATTTGGGATGCCATGGTGTGGTTGTGATGAGCCCAGGTCTTCATGAACGCGATTGTCATCTAAATCTTCAACGATTTCAAGATGATATGCATAATTCAAGCTCCCAATAGAACCGGAAGTATTGTAGTTTTGCCCATCACAATCATTCTCCTCGATGGTTGGGTCGCATGCCGATCTGCATAAACGCACTCGCGCCTTGTGTATCGCTTCTTGCCACAATGGCTTTCTATCATGCTCTCTCAGCCCATAGACCGGACCTTGTGCCTTTGTATCTGTACTCATTGTATTTTCAACGGATGGCCGTAGATTACCGTCCTTGGGCGCGGACGAAACTGTAGCATGCCCCAAGAATAGCATGTAAACAGATAGCGTATATGAAGGTCCAATCTGTATAGATCTTCGAGGGTCCTGCGCGTATTGCGTATCTCCGACAATTAATAGGGTACTAGCTTGTAGCAGCCGAGAGGGAGATATTCCAGAAGGGAGAGAAGTAGACAGGCTTTCACCAGAAGCCGATATGGCCAGTTGCAGTAGAGGGATGTCTCGGTCAATCTCGCTCAGAAGATTCTTTAAATCTCCAATCACCTTCTTCAACGCATCTTGGCTGGTTTCTTTATTTGGTGAGCTGACTCCTGAGCGTTGGCTGTGCTCTTGAGCAGCGGCGGCGGCTTCTGCACGACGGCCCAGCGAGACGATCTGCTTATGGAGAGATTTTGCAAGAGGGAGCGCAGATTCGAGAAAGACGTTTCCTCGCCCAGATCTAACTTGTCAGCATCTATGTTTGTGGTGAATGGATATTACCGACTTGAGCTCTACCAGGTTAATGGCAGGAGAGATAACCTGCAACCGAGTCAGTATCAGAGCCACGAGCGAAAGAAGAGGCAGTGTGCCGAAAGTTCAGATCACGCACTTTGATTTTACTATCGAGGTGCTTCTGAAGTATCCTCAACTCGGAATGGAGATTCTTATCATCAACTGCTTTGAGCAGACGAGAGCACTGGTTGATGGCGTAAGAGGAAGTCAAGGCAATGCCAGACCGTATAGCGTATCTCATGGCCTGTACGCCAACTGCTGCCAGGAATTCGTCCATAGAGGCGGTTCATTAAGATGCAATGTTTTCATGACGATAGGTTAGGAACTCCGGAAAGCAGTGACATATTCGAATCAGAGTGAGGTGAGAGCTTGACTTACTCAAAAGTTGCAACATTGTTTACTTCCCAGTTCCAAGTCCCATGCTTGTTTTGAAATGCTCATGTACCTTGAACACCGCCTTGGCTTGGGCTCGAAATAACCACAGTGCGAGTAGTTTTGTCTGACTCAGCCCGCCCTAGGGATGCCTAAAAGCCAGGCACATGGCATTGAGTTCATCGATTAGAAGGGTGGCGGTAAGAGTCACAATAGTGGAAATTGTGAATCTCTGGGGAAACACATCGAAAGAGAGTACATTTAATCAATGGTATCTGTATCAGCAACTTGCGCTCAAGCCAGGATATTCGTAATTTCTTGACTCATTGGCCGCCCTGTTGCTGTTTGCTGGGGTCTTATACCAGCCCAACCGTGTACCGTGCCCAGTACCACAAAATACACTGTAACAGCCCCTCCACAAAGCCTGCCACCTTTAGCGATGTCATGTCGCTGCCTTGGTGGGGCTCGAATTTTCACAACCTGCACCATAAAGCCAGCGAGACGTCGACCGTCGCTTTCAACTCCAAGACCCGAGTCTGCGTGCCGATTCGACCAAAGGCCTCTGACGGTGCTTGATATCTCCCCGTTTATCAGATCTCTTACCGGTTGGCAGACAGAGAAACCCCTCGTTTGACCGTCGACGACTCTCGAGCAACCCCTCCAAGCGACGAGAAAGATACTACACTCGCCACCATGTCGAACCTCAACTCTTGGGAGGACGATCCTGCTGCCCAGGACGAGAACCTCGCTCAGCAGGCTCAGCAGCAGCTCAACATGAATCCGGCCGCCGGCGGCTTCCGACCTGGTGCTGCCTCGTTCCAGCCCACCGCTCAGACCTTCCAGCCCGGTCAGGGTTTTGGCGGCGGATATGCGCAGCAATACCAGCAGCAGCAGTATTACGGGCAACAACAGGGATACTACCCGCAGTATGGTGGCCAACAACAAGGATTTGATCAGTACAACCAGTATCAAAACTACGGCGGCGGTTACGGCCAGGGCTACAACCAGAACCAGAACTACGGTACGTCGAAACGGTGAAGTGCTAATTTCGACCCACGAGAGCTAACATCAACTTTTTAACCATACCAGGTCAACAAGGATACCAGCAATATGGTCAACAGCAGGGCCAGAGAAACCAGCAGCAGCAGCAACAGCAGCCCGCTGCCCAAGCCCCTCAGAACAATGCCACCCAAGCTGCTCCTGTAAAGTCGCTCCCCGTCGAGAAGCCCGCCCCAGCTGCCAGCGCACCGAAGCCTGTCGTTTCCAATGAAGGAGGTGCCAAGGTGCTCAGCATTGGAGGTGATGTAAAGCCCAAGGCTAAAGTGCTGTCGATTGGTTCCACCGGCTCCCCCTCTGCCGCTGCCCCGGCCAAGGACGACGCCAAGACTGAGCCATCCAACGAGCCAGACGCGGGCAAGAAGGTTTCCGCAGCCAAGGCTATCGAGAAGACAGGTGAAAAGGCTGGAAAGGCTGCAGGTAGCGGCAAGTCGTCTGGAAGGACATCTCCGGACCCATCCTCTGGCCGGTCCAGCCCAACTGCAGCAGAGAAGAAGGCCCAGCGTGAAGTTGATGCGGTTCTGAAGGCACAGTCGGCCGATGTAGACGAAGATACCCTCAAGGAAATTTACGGCAAGGAACACGTCAACATCATTTTCATCGGTCACGTTGATGCAGGCAAGTCCACACTGGGTGGTTCCATCCTATGGACCACCGGCATGGTTGATGAGCGTACCATGGACAAATATAAGAAGGAGGCAAAGGACTTGGGTCGTGAATCATGGTACCTGTCTTGGGTCATGGACTTGACCAAGGAGGAACGAACCAAGGGCAAGACTGTCGAGGTCGGACGTGGCTTCTTCGAGACTGAGAAGCGACGCTACAGTATCCTGGATGCCCCCGGTCACAAGACATATGTTCCCAGTATGATTGGAGGTGCTTCACAGGCGGATGTAGGTATCCTCGTCATCTCAGCGCGAAAGGGCGAGTATGAGACTGGTTTCGAAAGAGGAGGACAAACGCGTGAGCACGCCATGCTCGCCAAGACCCAGGGTGTCAACAAGCTCATCGTAGCGATCAACAAGATGGACGACCCGACAGTGGAGTGGTCTGAGGAGCGTTACAAGGAGTGTACGACCAAGCTGCAGCAATTCTTGAAGGGCACGGGCTACAACCTCAAGACGGATGTCTACTTTATCCCTGTGGCTGCCCAGATGTCACTGAACATCAAGGATCGACTCCCCGCGGGCGTCGCTCCTTGGTGGAAGGGTCCCTCACTACTGGAATATCTCGACGGCATGCAGGCTCTGGAGCGCAAGGTCAACGCGCCATTCATGATGCCCATCAACGCCAAGTACCGAGATCTGGGTACCATGGTTGACGGCAAGATTGAGGCTGGTGTGGTGAAGAAGGGCATGTCACTGATTATGATGCCCCGGAAGCAGGCTGTGGAAACCGCTGCCATCTACGGAGAGCAAGAAGAGGAGCAGCCTATTCTGCAGTGCGGTGACCAGGTGCGTCTGCGTCTCAAGGGTGTTGAAGAAGAAGACATCCTGCCCGGATTCGTGCTCTGCTCGCCGAAGCGACTGGTGCACTGCGTTACCGAGTTCGAGGCACAGATCCGAGTCTTGGAGCTAAAGAGCATCCTCACGTCTGGATTCAACTGCGTGCTGCACGTCCACGCCGCCATTGAAGAGGTTACCTTTGCAGCTCTGCTGCACAAGCTGCAGAAGGGCACCAACCGCAAGAGCAAGGTGCCTCCCACACACGCCAAGAAGGGCGACAGCATTATTGCCAGACTCCAGGTGACTGGAGGCGCTGGTATGGTTTGCGTCGAGAAATTCGAGGACTACCCCCAGATGGGTCGTTTCACCCTCCGAGACCAGGTATGATGCTAACACACGATTTCTTACCATTCGTAACCTTTTGCTAATAACATTGCACAGGGACAAACCATTGCCATTGGCAAGATTACAAGACTCATTACCAGTGAGGACCAGTAAATGCCCACTGGTAAAGTGCTAGAGAAGAAAATAGAAGGAAAAGAAAAGAATACCGGCATCGGGCGGTTTGGCTAGGAGAGTGTGAATGGGAATGGATTGAGAGCAAGCTCTGATTGCCATATCGACGAGGAGACGGAAGCGAAGAGCTCGGCTACAACTGAGATAGAAGGCGTCGCCTGCATGGGTGTCAGGGTTGAAAGTTCACAGGGCCGCAATTTGAGACGGGGTGAGCCATGATAAAGACCAGGAAGATGCGAGGCCATGGCAAGCATTTGTAGATGCCATACGATGCGACGATTGTCAAAGATAGAAAGGACGACGAAATACTCCTTTACTTTTTGTTCAAAAAAAGCCAATTTTTTTCTGGATTGAAGCAAATAGCCATAGTCAGCCGAGGAATTGATAAAGACTTAGCTTTGATGAGGTCAGTATCTGCTCGGATGATGCAGTGAATCAGTGATTAAGGGAGAAGCAAAAGATAAGATGTTTCCGCCTTGGACGTTCCGTATTGATCCGTCAAAAGAAGCGTCGGAAGACTTGCAAAGGGTATACTTTCAGCCGCTTGAGATTACCATTCGGCACAAGGGGCGGAAATGCGAGCTGATAGGGTCGCAATTCCGAGCACGTTTTTTGGAGCCCAAAAGGCTGAAGAAGCCGTCCGGGAGTGTGAAAGGTAAAAGACGGGGGTGGCAGCCACATGCAAGAAGCCATCGCCATGGGGCGAATCAGGGGAAGAGAGGGAATCAATTACGGGCTTTTTGCACATGCTACGGTATGACTAGGTGGGTGAAACTGGGGGGCGTGTGGGTTTCAATGTCATGTCGAGTTAATGACCTGCATGCACTGCAAAAGAGAAAGACTGCATGAGCTGTGGGCTAGTTAATAATTGCTTCGGTGGTTGATGGGCCGGGCTTGCTCATGAATTCTCAGGGTTGAGGGCGAGGCACAACCCGGGCTGCTCCGTATGTCAGCGGGAAGAGCCATGCATTGCTACGACTCAACGTTAGGCAGAGAGTACTGTAAGGTACTTCTTACTTCTTACCTGAGCCTTACACAGCCACTAACTCAGGGATCCAAGTATACATTTGCTGGAGGGAACGAAAATGAATCGGAACCAGGGGGGGCTTGGGAAATCCATGTGTGCAAGGAAGGTTGTAACTTGTGGGCCAGTTCTGGGGCTTCCGAGCCCGAGCCGGCGAGACGGAGCGGCACCACGAGGCACCTGGAGAATCTGGAAATTCCCAGCGGTGGATTCGGGGGTCCGTGAGTGGGGCGGCAAGTTGGGTCGGTCGGGAGGATGGGATAAAGGAGGAGGAGGGCGATTATGGAGGAGGAGGAAGATGCCGGGTAGGTGGTTTGATATCGTGATATTGTTGTGTTGGTTGAGTCATGTTGTATTGTGACTACCTATTAAGAGATGCCGAGGTATAGACTGGAGAGTACTGTAAACTAGCAACAAGGTAAAAGCATAAGAAGAAGAATATTATTATTACAGGTCATCCGGTGATGGTGATGCTCTACAAAGTGTGTACTTGTAATTGTTGTAACATGCTACCAGGTTGTATGTAAAAGATACGTCACGGAGACGTCGAGCATAGCCCAATCCAGGCTTGGCGTTGAGCCGGGGAAAATCCATGCTGGAAAAGGAAGGGATCGATTCTTTTTTTCTTCAAGCAAACGAAAGCGGTGGGTTCTCTTGTAACATGGAGCTTGCGGGTCGACTTTGCCACAAAAAGAATGAAACGCAGTTGATGCCGTATCTACCCATTTTGAAGAGGTGACATTGAGAGTCAACCACGATAGAAAAAAAATAATAAAGAAAATAAAGAAATAAAACTGTGCTTCATTTAATATTGGGTTGCATTCTGCAGAGTGGCAAGGAATCAAAGCAATTTCACAGCGCATGCGCATGCATCACTGCCTGACAATTAATTACCAAAAAGACGCTGCTGCAATGTTTCTTCTCCTTCAAGCCAAACCCACCCCCTGGCTTTTCAATGACTAACAAGGTACCACAGGGTGTGGCTATAGCGCAAAAAAAGCTGAGATATTCCTGCCCGTATCAGAAATTCTAAATATTCAAATGCAAAGACCCGAAATCAAACAGAAAAAAATGCCAGCACAAAATTGTTGTTTCGCGGAGAAAGTCGGAACAGAAAGACCACGGCGGTCGGCGAGCCAATCACGGGGTCAGATGGGCGGAACGGTGCCGTTGGGCCGAGACCCAGTGGCACGGACTCACTGTGACTTTTGGTTTCCGCAGTAATACTTGTACAACGGCTTGTGGTTTCTAGAAGAGCGAGATAAAAAAAAGAGATGAGAAAGGAGGAATGAAGGTATCGTCTGTTTCGAGGTGCTACAAGATGACGCAGTTTGTCCTCAGACACTCGGGAATCGTGTGCCGAATGTCTTGAGCACAGCGAACTGAGACATTGCAAGCGAAAAAAGAGTTGAGTTGATGCCGGGCGTGCTGCCGAGAGGAGCCGCAGCAACGGGTATTCCAGCCGGCACCTCCATTTTTTGCTGCCGGTTTCTCACTTACGAATATACATGTAATCGGGTGCCAGGTACCTTGGCCTTTACAGCACTTTGGTGGGAATAGTCCTGGGTAGGGGCGTGTACTACAAGGGCAGCAAGAAGCATAGAGAAGAAGAAGGGAAGAAAAAAGGTCCATCCATTGATCTCTTTGGACGAACCCAAGAATCGCGGGGTAGCGAGATTACTCACACGCCTCTCTTCACCCCTTTGCGGGTATGCACAGACCAGACCAAAAAAAAAAAAAAAAGCCCAGCCCATTTTCGAGGCTCAAGGCAAAAAGCCGGAGCTGGGAGGGCCATTCCCAATTCTCTTCCCCCGGATTGGACTATTGTACATGACTAGCCGCCGACCGGAATTGGCTTCAATTTTACTAACACGGGGGAGAAGAAGTCACTTGATGGGAGAATTTGCGGAGGCTGAAGCAGCTGCCCCTTGCCGCCCTGTTTGTGTTGCCTACCTAGTAGTACTTGTAGTATTTACCTGTGCTTTTTTTAATAGTCGGGGCAAAAAATAGAAATTGAAGCGAGGAAAGAAAAAGGGGAGAGATCTCGTGCCCAAATGCGAAATTCAGTTGAGAAATCTCACGCCCTAACCCCCCCTGCTGGGTTCCACTTGTGTGTCAATGGGGGAGTATTCTTTTTCCTTTTGGCCTTTCGCCTTCGCCGTAGGTGCTAATGCAAGAATCCATATCTCTTCAACTTGTTTATCGTTATCTGCACCGGTTCCCGGGGCGGTACCTGTAGCTGTCCTAGTAGTCAAAGTACCTCCGGAACACTTTGTGTACAAGTAGCGGGAGGACGAGTCAAGCTTCCCTTCCGGGCCGGGGAGTAAGAATGAAAGCTGGCAATTGAGCTTTTCTTTTTTTACCTTTTTTTCTTTTTCTTCCTCCCGTCCCCCGGACCAGCCAGTTGGCATGGATCCTCGCGTGAAGCCCGTTCCTGTTATTTCAGGGCCCAGCCCCGTGACCGTCAGAATCCTGCTGCTATTACCCAACGATTATGTGTTTGTTTAGCTCGGCTTAGAATTAGACCCCGTGCGTAAGGTATTACTCGTATCCAAGGACAATGCCGAGAGAATCAAGGACTTGTCCGTCCCCAAAGATGATCACAGCAACAATACGGGGTAATTAAAAAATGAAAATAAAACGAAAAAAAAACCAATTGCCACATGAGCATCATCCGCAATCCCATAAACTACCCGGTTAGGCAAAGCCGCAGCAACATTCGCCCCCTTCGGCGCCCATTCCGTACGTAATCGCCCCGCATTAGCCGTAGGCGCGCCGGGCAAAAGTCTCGACGGACTCACCCATTTTGCACAGCACAATGTACAACCGGCATGGGTTTCGGAATAGTCCGCTTGGGAAAACTGATTGACTCGAAACCTCGTTGGCTTGGTCAGATTTCTGTGCCCGGTTTTTGCCTGCCTGCCTATGATCGAATGCACGTGTGGTTGGAGAGGAATTGCCGTCTACGGGAAGCATATTCACACATCGCGCATCACACGGCGGTTGGTGAGCATGAGCAGAGCAAGGTTTAAATAGTCCTGTTTCCTCCCTCGAGTTGGAGATTGAAGACAGCTTCTTTAGCATCACAAAAAAACAAACTTCAACTTTGCTTCAACAGTGCACTTGTGCCGTCATCTATTCATCATCCACAGTCCACACAAAGCTCAGCTGCACTAACAACTGGACCCGTGCTGGTATCGTGAGTCGACCCGACTTTTCTTTACTTTCTTCTTCGTTACCCCTTGCGTCTTCTGGAACACACGCCCCCTTTGCTCTGCAGGTCCAATTAAAAAGGACAAGAAACAAATTATGAAAAAAATTCATCACAAAACATGACCCAAAAGTCCCATGCTTGAATTGATTACCTGCCCTCTCCTGCGTTGCTTGAGCCGAGCGCAGACGATAACAAGCGCCACAAAGTGCCAAGTACACGCAGAAGCATTTGATCCTTTCACCTCTTCTCACTTACACACACGCCCCCCTTCCCTCTTTCTCCTATCCTATTCTCCACACAAAAGCTCGGTTGTTTCCTTCTGCCTTTGCACCCCCTTGTTTTCACACGTTGGTTCATTCCGATATAAATTCGTGTGTCAAGCTTCGCACCGCCCGCCACGGCTCCACACGAGGCCCCCTTCGGAAGGGCTTGTGCTTGATCCTACCAGTCGGGACTGTTCGATCGCAGGGCTACTAGGCAACCTTGTATCTAACACATGGCTCTAGCTTCTGTCCTTCTGATCTGCTCCAAAGTACATCGACACGACTCCGGACCGCTGTACCTGTCCCGGCTTCCACTCTGGAGAAAAAAAGAACCCCGTAATCTTGACCCGCCACCCCCTCCCCGGTTCGTTTCGTTTTGGCATTAGTAGCTGAAGCGGGAAGCACGACGAAAAAGAACGACGACTACATTCCGGAACTGTCCCTACAACTCAATTTCTCTGGAATACATAAAGATCCAATGGATCCCTACTTCAGAACTGCTTCTCCGTACACAGATCCTTCCGTCAAAGGTCCCAAGTCGCAGATCCAGGCATCGGGAATAGATTTACGCAAGAGTAAGTCGCTTTCCCTACGGCCTGCAATGGAGCTGTCCAGCAAAAGAGGATTCTGCCAGACTTGGGAGGCTAACACATGAACAGTGATTTCAAGCAACGTTAACAAGACTGCTCTGCACCCTGGCGGTGTTCAGTGAGTGCTCTCCCTATCCTGTGATGCACTGTTGTGGTGTTTTATATTGCTGCAGATGGACTAACACCACATTTACTGCAGGCCCTACCGCGAGCACACCGAGCTCGGTATGTCCACCTTTTGTCTTGATCCAGCTGACCTTGGCACACCGCCTTTGGGAACCCGGCATTAACTTGAGTGTGCAACAGAGGAGGAGCTTCACGAGATTGCTCACATCGACTACGACCGCGTCGCCATTGTAAGTCTTGGTTGAAAACTCCACGCATCGTGATGAAAGCACATCGCTCACAGGGATTGCCCACTGCAGGTCGCCAACCCTTCCGTCGCCGCGCTTTACGAAGATGCCCTCGTCTACGAGAGCGGCACTGCCATCACCTCCAGCGGTGCTCTGACTGCCTACTCTGGCGCAAAGACCGGCCGCTCTCCCCTGGACAAGCGAATTGTCAAGGAGCCCTCTTCAGAAGACAACATCTGGTAGGTCATGCACATGCAGTTCGTTTCAATTTCACGGCTAACCAAGGCTCTGCAGGTGGGGACCAGTCAACAAGCCCATGAGCCCTGAAGTAAGTGCCTGATCGTGATCGTCGCTGCGAGCGTCATCTCCATCGTCATTGCCCGTCTTTGTTGTTCCGAATCTACCCATGCATTTCGTTTTCGTCCTTTTTGTCTCATCCCTGCATTCTTTATTCTGGCTTGGGTCAATGGTCACGCGAGCGGGGCGGCTCCTATTCAGCTCTTTCAGCCCGGCCGCCACACTCCAGCGCAATCCTTCAGCTGCTGCATTCACTGGAACGGCCACTGCCACAGGGCAAACCAACCAGCGAAAGGCAATTGAACTTTCTTTTGCTTTTGCTGCTCTGTCGAATCGGAAGCGCATGCGGAGAAGTGCCCAGTCAGACAGGGATGCAGCTCTAGCTTGGCGTCACTTGCAGGCCCCAAGACCCCGCACATTACAAAAAAGTGACTTGTTCGGCACTCTTGTCAAAGTCACGGCAAAAAAGAAAAAGAGCCGGGGCCCCGCTGGACCGAATCGGGTAGCCGACCATAAGCGGCCTCCCGACGCAGACCCGCGGCTTTGCATTGGACATTCTGGCTTGTGATGCTGCATTTCATCTGCCTGCATTTGCCTGCATTCCGACCCGGTCCGCTCCGGTCAGCTCTAGCTCTGGAAGCCGGGTTGGGAAGCCGGACTGGCAGTGTCCTTGGGCGGCCGCCAACAAAGCTGTTGGCTGGCTGATTGGCTGGCGTGTAATTGCCGGTTCTGTGCCCGGAACAGTCGTGAAGCAATGACGAAGAGAGATGATCAGTGAAACAAGCTTACAGGTGCTAACGATAATACTCTTTTAGGTCTGGAAGATCAACCGAGAGCGTGCTGTCGACTACCTCAACACCCGCAACCGCATCTACGTCATTGACGGCTATGCTGGCTGGGACGAGAAGTACAGAATCCGCGTCCGTGTCATCTGCGCTCGCGCCTACCATGCTCTGTTCATGAGAAACATGCTCATCCGCCCTCCTCGTGAGGAGCTCGAGCACTTCCACCCCGACTACACCATCTACAATGCCGGAACTTTCCCTGCCAACAGATACACCGAGGGCATGACCTCCGCCACATCCGTCTCCATCAACTTCGCCGCCAAGGAGATGGTCATCCTGGGTACCGAGTATGCTGGTGAGATGAAGAAGGGTATCTTTACCGTTCTCTTCTACGAGATGCCCATCAAGCACAACGTCCTGACCCTGCACTCATCTGCCAACGAGGGCAAGAACGGCGATGTCACACTCTTCTTCGGTCTGTCTGGAACTGGCAAGACTACCCTGTCTGCCGACCCCAACCGCGCCCTGATCGGCGATGACGAGCACTGCTGGAGTGACCGTGGTGTCTTCAACATTGAGGGTGGCTGCTACGCCAAGTGCATTGGCCTGTCCGCCGAGAAGGAGCCCGATATCTACAACGCCATCCGCTACGGCTCCATCCTTGAGAACGTCGTCTTCGACCCCGTCACCCGCGAAGTTGACTACGACGATGTCACTCTCACCGAGAACACCCGCTGCGCCTACCCCATCGAGTACATCTCCAACGCCAAGATCCCCTGCTTGACCGACAACATGCCCACCAACATCATCCTCCTCACCTGCGATGCCCGCGGTGTCCTTCCCCCCATCTCCAAGCTCGGCAGCGCCCAGACCATGTTCCACTTCATCTCCGGCTACACCTCCAAGATGGCCGGTACCGAGGACGGCGTCAACGAGCCCCAGGCTACCTTCTCCAGCTGCTTCGCTCAGCCCTTCCTGGCCCTGCACCCCATGAAGTACGCCCGCATGCTTGCCGACAAGATTGAGCAGAACAAGGCCAACGCCTGGCTGCTCAACACCGGCTGGGTCGGTGCCGGCTTCGCCCAGGGCGGCAAGCGATGCCCCCTCAAGTACACTCGTGCCATCCTCGACGCCATCCACTCTGGCGAGCTCGCCACGGTCGACTTTGAGAACTACGAGGTCTTCAACCTGCAGGTTCCCAAGACCTGCCCCAACGTCCCCGAGGACCTGTTGAACCCCAAGAAGGCCTGGACCGCCGGCGCCGACAGCTTCCAGCGCGAGGTCGTCAAGCTGGGCCAGCTCTTCCGCGAGAACTTCAAGAAGTACGAGAGCGAGGCTACCCCCGACGTCATTGCCGCCGGCCCCAGCGTCTAAGCAGCATCTCGAAACGACAAACCAAAAACGAAAAACAAGAGAAAAAAACAGCTCGAGGATACGAGGGACAGCGTTTTGAACTTGAAATTTCTTCATTTGCATGACAAATTCGTGATATCCAGGGGTTTTTTGGACTTGACGAAACACGTGTGGGAACACCAAAAATTGAAGGACTTTGATTTGGAAAGGATTTAGACTATTTTCCTTTTTTTTTTTCTTCTTCTCATGTTTGCTTTCTTTCTTTCTCTTTTTTTAATGGCCACGTTTTTTGAACGTTGGGAAAGCATCGCTATGGGTCGGCGTTTTAACATTTCATTTCACGTCCCCTTTTGCCACTTCTTGGATGGAGGACTTTGGATATGCATTTTGCATCTCTTTGACGAAATTGCTATATAGCCAAATTGAATATGTTTTGAAAATTAATTGATCCAAATAATTACTTGTGATGTCTTTGTCTTATTACAATAGTTTACTTGTCATTCTCAACCAAAGCTGGAAAAACTTTCCAACACAGTCGACCACAACTCATCGCTAAACAAATAACTTCCGTCCTCAGCACCTGTATACGATCCAAAGACTTGCTGCTGCTCACCCACCGGCACAAGCCCATCGACATTTTGGTTTGCCGCTTGCTGCATCAGAGTGGCCGCGTTTGCATTGGCATTGGCAGCAATGATGTCGCTAATGGCAATAGAAGGAGGAGTCATGGCAGCAAGCGGGCTTTTAGACACGAGATCTATGCCTAAGATGCCCTTCACCCGCGGCGCGTACCAGCTGGCCAGCACGCTCATGTGGCAGCACAGCGTTCCGATGACGTCGAGCCCCTTTTCCTGGCCCGAGAGCCCGACGATGAGGAGGCGCAGCCTGTCGTAGAGCCTCACAACAAGGTTGAGGTAGTCTGCTTCGTCGACAACGGCCTTGGCCTCGTTCAATACGTTGTCCGGGATGCTGGTACGGGAATGCTTTCCGACGATGAGCTTCAGCAGAGCGGAGACGGAGCGTGGGAGGATAACGAGGGAGGCGCAGATCTGGGCCATGGTGAAGATAGTGACTTGGGGCAGCTCGTCGTCGGGGATGTCGATGTAGGCGTTGATGAGGCCCTTTGTGTGGCGGAGGAGGTGCCACAGGAGAGAGCATCTGAAGGCGGACGTTTTGAAGGATTGCGCTGAGCGGGAGTAGGCGAAGGCGTGGCGGGACTGGTAGGAGATGTACTCGTCGTCGAGGGCCAAGTCGCGGATGGCAATGTTGATGTAGTGCATGTTGCAGTGAAATATGTTTGCTACAGAAGATAAGGGAGAGTGTTGTGAGTATATATTATGGGGGAAATTGTAATCGTTTTTGCGGAGATGCGGAAAGACGACGTACTGACTGAGTTTGGGCACTTGGATAGTTCTGTCTCGAGGGTGGCTTTCAGACTCTCAAAGTGCCGCAGGTTGGCCCCAACCATGAGTTTGATGGATGATTCTTCCTGGGATGAAGCGTCCGCGCCAAGTTCTGCAAACTCTTTGTAGCTGCTGTCTATCGAGCATATGAAAGACTGGGTGACGATCAAGGGCCGGATGCATCTGTCAGAGGGATACTCGGTGGACGTGGCCATATTCTGGCAGCATTCGTCTATCTTTTTGTTTCTCCTCATTGCAGTTGGCCGGTCAATCGTCCTTGGTAAGCTGTGTGGAGCAGCATCAGCAACAACTCATATACTCCCGCCTCAGATTTCCCCCCTTACCATGTAGCAGCCCAATAGGTCCCCAACAGAGCTCTCTGCTGGTCTGTGGTCAACTCTCCCTTTAGACGATGCAGCCTCAGGTCATGTACCATATTCACACATAGGTCCAGCAGCAGAACAAGCTGCACGTTCCCCCTCTGCGAAGGATACCGGTACCACGCGCATAGAACAAGCAGCGCACGTAGCAAACCCAGGTTCCGCTCCGAGCTCGCGACAATGCGGGACGTGATGTGCTGCATTATTTCGTCGGCGAGCAGCTTCCGGATGGCGTGTGCGCTGGGGATGGTGGCGGCGATGACGGCGAGGAAGAGCAGAGGCTCCTGCTTGCGGAGCATATCGGCAGTCTGGGACGGGGGAAGGACGACGAATGGGAAATTCCACACGAAGCGAGACTTGAACTGCGCGACATAAGTCTCTGCTTCGTGGATGCTGAGAAAACCACGGTCGACGATGTCGGATATGCCCTCTAATACCGACGTTGTAGGGGGTTCACGGCCATGATAGCCTTCGGGCTCGGGCTCTTCTGCGTCCAGCGGCTCTGCATCTCCATACGAATCTTCAGGAACAGAGTCTGTAACAGATGAAGGCTCTGTACTTGATGCCGTTCCGCTGATAGAAGTAGATGCTGTTCCGATGGTAGAAGAAGATGCTGTGCCATTATGGTTGTTCACACCGTTTCTAAGCGCCACCAGCTGAGCTGTGAGCTCTTCGATTTTGCTCTCCAAAACACCAACTCGACTAGTTGACGAATCAGCAAGCCAATTCTCCAACTCAAAAGCATATCACTGCATAGAGTTTCTCTCACCTATCGTCATCCTTGCGTTTCCGCTTCCTCTCTGGTAAATCGAGATAGACACACTGCTTCCCAAGCCGGGCACAGCGCTGGCACAGGTTGTCTGTCTGTGGCAAGCACTTGCACTTTGCCTTTGTGCACGTGACACATGCTCTTCTCTTGATGTTGTAGATACCGCTTTGTGGATTCATCGTCAATTACGTGAAAAGGGGATGGAAAGCAGGTGTAAGTGGAGGAGAGCGAATGTTGAACGGCCGATCCACAAACCGTCGGCCGATGGCTGCTCTGAATTTCCGCACCCGTTGCTGACATATACAGCCTCTGCTTTTGATTGGCCGAATATCAAGAAATCCTTCCACTAAAAGTGGGACCGGACGGTGGACTTTAGATCGGCCGTTCCTGATGATCTTTTGAGTTACTCAGCCATTATTCCGCCTCGTATGCTTGAAACAACGACGGACTTTGATACTATAGCAGAATTGAGTGATTTATCATGAATCGTACATCATATCAACTGTTTGTCATCATGGGACTATCTCCAGCCCTAGGCTGTGGCGATTGCGATTCTCCGCCAGTGTGACTTTGGAGGCAACTGAGCATCATGACACGACTTACACGAAGACAAGCACAAACACACATGTATATAAACGCAACTCCCATGGCCAAGATGAACCACTTTCGCCTCACTATTTATCAGACAAATCAAACAATCAGTCAAGCAATTATTCAAACAGTCAACTAAACAACCAACTAATCAACCAACCAACCAACCAACTCTCATACACACAATGCCTTCCTACGCAATCACCGGCGCCTCCAAAGGCATCGGCCGCGAATTCGTCCGCCAACTCGCCCAATCCCCCTCCAACACCGTCCTCGCCCTCGTCCGCGACCCCGAATCCCCCGGCATCAAAGCCCTCGCCCAATCTCACTCGAACATCCACATCATCAAGGCCGACACCACAGACCCTCAGTCCATCCTCGCCGCCGCCGAACAAGCCTCTTCCATCCTCGGCGGCAAGCTCGACGTCTTCATCCACAACTCAAACTCCGTCGACCTCTCCACCTTTTCGCTTCCCCCTTCAAAGGTGCCCTTTGATGTCGAGGCTACGAGGAAGTTTTATGAGGAGCCCCTTAAAACGGCTGTTTATGGCGGCGCGTGGGCGACGAATGCCTTCTTGCCCCTGATTGAAAAGGGGGACCTCAAGAAGATTGCACACATCACTAGCAGCATGGCACAGCCGGAAGTCATTCTTGGCGCTGGAGTTGATTACGCTGTGGCCTATTCCATCGCAAAGGCCGGCCTGAATGTTCAGGTTGCAAAGTACGCTGCTGAGCTTGCTCCCAAGGGCATCAAGACTGTCGCTATTTGCCCTGGCTGGGTTGATACCCACGAAGGTAATGGACAATTCACCCCTGTCTTCTTTCTGATATGAACTTCTCCTTTCCTTTTGTCTATTGCCTCTCCCTCTCCACCTGTTCCTTCTTTAGCTAACAATGTATCAATAGGCCCAAAGCCTCCCCAGCTCGTCGAGGCGACTGAGGTAATGCTCAACCAGTTCCGAAAGATCGAGCCTGACTTGAAGGGACAAATCACGGCCGAGGAAAGTGTTTCACAGCAGCTCAGAGTCATTGACGCACTCGATGCTGCGAGAAGCGGTACCACCATCCGGGCTCGATTCTTCGAGGGTTAAATTTCAAGGACTTGCTGAACTTGGAGAAACAATACACCCAAGGTAATAAGGCTTTTCTACAGCAAGCACGATTAAAGTAGCATTGAAAGGAAGTCATGTATAGCGGACAGGATATCGTGTATAAATGTAGCGTCTATAAATAGCGAATGTTCTCTAACTTTTAGTCTCGTGGCAGTGAGGGTATCCTAGACACGTCCCGTATCTCAACATGGAAGTCTTCAACCATCATCTTGCTTGATCCTTATTATGCACCGTAAATAAAAGAATGGTAATGAACCCAGAAATGAAAAAAAAAATAAAAAAATAAAAAAATAAAAAAGACAAATCCCACCGCATTAGTACATGTATATAGTTTAATAAGAGTATCGGAACATCTTGTTCTCCTTATCTGTCATGGTAGCCCAGACCTCAGGAGACATAAAGTGCTCCTCGTTCTCCTTGCTGTGGTCGCCGCGTCTCTTGTTGCACCATACATAGTAGAGGAAGAGGGCAAAGGTAGTCGCGGCACATCCAGCTTGAGTGCCCATGACTGCCAGCTTGGCAGGTCGGAAGTCGGGCGCGTCACGGGCCTGGAAGGTCTGGGGTCCAATAATGTTGCCCAGAGAGAACGAACCGCTAACAATAGCAGCGGCAAAGGCACGCTTGGTAGCACCACTGACGTTAGCAACGGTCAACTGTATCCGTCATGTTAGTCACTCGCTACTGTGCACGGGTACTGAAAGGGGGAGCACTCACGGCGTAGAAGAGGGGCAGGGGAGCGACAACTGCATTGACCAGGTAGATACCGGCCAAGACGCCCGAGGAATGAGTCTTGGAGTCAAGGAAAGACATCAAAGCACCTCCAATAATGCTATTCACGAGAGGTTAGAAAACTATACTGGCTGGCTTCTCTGGGCATAAAGGTATCAAACTTACGCAGGAATGATGCAGGCAATAATCCAAGCCCATCGGTGGGATTGCTTGCGAACGCCAAAGCCGACAAGCAGGGTGAAGAAGATGCTAATAGCACCCGAGGGCATGTTCATCAAGGCAGCTTGGGCTGGCTTATAACCCAAGTTCTTGATCAAAGTGGCAGAGTATGTCGTAACGACACCACTGGAGACGGAGAGCTTCAGAGGGGGAAAAGCCACGTTAGTATAAAGAGACAGTAGGGGGCTGTAGGACACTTACAAGAACAACGGACAAGAGCAGAAGCCAGATCTGGGGATCAAGGAGGGCCTCCACAATCTCCTTTGGGCGGAACTTGCGGCTCTGGATACCAGTCTGGTTGACGCTGACATGCTTCAACAGAGCAACCTTCTCGTTGTCAGAAAGCCAGGAGGCCTTCATGGGAGTGTCAGGCAAGAAGAAGAAGGCAGAGAGACCAATGACAACAGTGACGCATCCCAAGACGACAAACATGATACGCCAGCCAGCGAGAGAAGCGCCGGGGGTGACATGCTGGAAGCCGTACGAAATGGCACCACCGAGGATCTGGCCCAGGCCCAAGCCGAGATACCAGAAAGAGAAGCGAGGAGCCTGCTCAGATTTTGTATACCACTGGCTGCTAATGAGCATCAAAGAAGGCCCAATAGTTGCCTCGAAGATACCCAGGAAAACACGAGAGACTAGCAGCGTTTGGTAGTTGTGAGCAGCAGCACCGCAAGCAGTGGCAACACCCCAGAGGGTGACATTGAGTCCGAGCCATTTGGCAGCTGGGACGACTTGGAGGAAGTAGGCTATTGAGACCCTTAGTTAATACGGCCATTCACCAGAAGAAAGACAGTATGACATCGGACAGAGCTGGAGAGACTCACTATTGGGGATTTCGAAGCAGAGCAAGCCGACAAAGCAAAATGTAGCAACATTTGAAAAGTCGTTACCCTGAAGATGCAAGTCTGCGTTGAGGCCCATGACAGCGGCGTACTAGTTCTGCATCAGCATCTCGTATCACGCAGTCACAACGCACGATAGGCGCCCAGTTGAACCCGCTCACTCGATCTGAGTGGGGGCGGAAATGCAGGTACGGTGGAATCAACGTGAGATCAACTTACATTCAGGATGACCTTGTCAAGAAACTGCATTGTGTAGCAGAGAAACATGATGGGGACAATATGCAGGTCAATCTTGAGTCGCAGAGACTTGATGTTGACGGCGGCAACGCCAGCAGCATCGCGATGCTCGTTGAGGAATTTCCATGCATCGTCGATGCCAGCCTCGGGAACATCGACATCGCTATGGGAAGGGGTCGTTCCCCGAACATCGACGTCCCCTCCTTTCTCGCTAAGGTTTTGGGAAGACATTTTTGCGATTTGCCCTCGCAGCTCTCGACTCACGAGTCAACACTCCAAGAAAGAGCTATGGCCGTGTATTCGGATCCGACGAGAAGCGCAAAGTGTACAGTAAGTGTACAGTAGATTCGATGGGGGAGAAGACTGGGGGAAGTGACGTGATGAGTCTGACTGCCAACGAGGGAGTGAATAAAGAGGAAAAAATCGAACAGGGTGTGTGAGATTGACGTGGAACAAAATCTCTCTCCCAAACCAGGACGATCGGCGTTGGATGCGAAGAGATCAACACCTCGAGCCAGGAATGGCAGTTCAAATACGACGTGGGAAGGGGGAGGATGCCGTACGTAGTAATAAGAAGATTTATGGACTCCCAATGAGGATGTGTAAGGAGGGGACCTGGCAGGACAGAGCCAGGGTCTTTGGCCACTCTGAAGCCAGCTACGGTACGGCGTCGGTATCGTAGCTCTGGTAGAGGGAGGGAGGTACGAGCACTTCAGCGCACAAGGCAATTGGGCGGATTTGCTTGATTGCAGCGGTGCCACGAGGGGCCGCAGTGATGGTTAAAGCAAGGTTCGGATGCAAGTCCAGGGATGTTGGACCGGACGGACCCATAAAGCAGCGGCCCTAGTACAGGCCGTCAACCACCTGAAGGTGACTCGTAAGAAGGAGCAAAAGGATAGAAAATAGTGCCAATGCTAGTGAAAAGGTCAAAAAAATCACAGGCAGGGAGACGAGAGGTAGGAAAAGGACAAGACAAGTGGTCTCTTCAGCGGTGCTAGCAACGGGGGACGGTACCGTCTAACCGGAGAAGAGGGAACTGTCTCGACCCAAAGGGATGGTCACAATGGGTGGGTTGCCCTGCAGCTGGCCTGTCAAAGCCGCGTCTTTCCCTTCGGTGCAATGTCAAGTGTTGCTAACTGGTCTTAGAAACAGTCCAGAAGAGTCGCCGCGGCTCCAAGGCATTGATACCGTCATCCAATATTTGCTGATGGGCGAAATCTCCGAAGGCATTGCCAGCACCTGCAAAAAGAAACAACCGACCGCTTCCCCATTTTCCGATTTTCCCCTCGGGGGATTCACACTCATACCAGACCAGTGCCTCAGAAGACAGGGCCTAGCAGCGAGGCCAGCGCCAAGTAGCCAAGGCCGGACATTGCAAGGGGGGTGAGAAGTTGGCGAGCTTGTGGAGGCGGAAGCGATGCCGCGATCGCGCATCGTCTGTCTGCTGTGCTGAAAGCAGCCAAGCGGCCTCACAGAACTCAGCGTGGTTCAGGAAGGATTGGCCAAGGGGCACCACGCATTTCCGACGGGTTTGCAGGGGCAAATTACGCCGTCGACGCCCTCGATGCAAGGCCTTTTGGTGCAGCAACAATGGCAGCCATCGTCTAGTCTGTCTGCGGTCTCTTGGCCGTGCAACGGAGCATCGCCTCTCAGGCATCGCGTTGCACACGCATCGAGCATGAATCGACGGGGGCCGGGAGATTGACTCGAGTAACGTTGAGTGATCGTCTCGTACGATGGCCGAATCGACGGTCCCGCTGGACGGAGGCCATTTTGGTGGTCCCGTATCGTAATAGTGTTTGATGCTGAACTGGGGCCCGGCAGTCGTCCGCAGCTAGAAGTTTTAGCAGTTGTGGTCCTGTTAGCGCTCCAGTGGTTTGCACCTGTACACGAGACCTGTGGCTCAAGTTGTCCTCAATGCCCTCAGCACTATAGCAGGTCCATGCTACAGCATAGGTCCATATCTTTCAGGGCAACCTTGAAGGTACTTCCCCCCACCGCCCCGACCCGCTCCGCGGCTGGATCCCCTGGGGCTGTTGCTGTTCCCCATCGAGACGCCACAATCACAAGCTCACACAAGGACAGAAAAGCTGGATTTTGCGAGCATTTCCGTGATTTCATCTGAACTCCCAGATGGAGCATGTACATACACGTACTCTGTCTCGCGTGGTCTGGCCTGCAGCTGCACCTGATACTTCGTTTAAGCAGCAGACACGTTTGGTTTGCATGTACTCCATACCATGTGCGTCAATCCGTTGAGTGCCTGCGTGGCCTCCGCAGGAACTTGCTTGATATGGTGAGCTGGTGCATTAGCACGAACGAGGCACCTTGTTAGTCCAGCCATAGATGCTGTCTAGTATGTACGAGCAGCCCCAAGTGTCAGTAACTAAATACCCTACCTGGCACTTGGCTGTACGTGGCACTCCGTACATACAGGCACTCCGTACGACAGAGCACAGCGCTGTTGGTGCAACGAAACTATCAAGTATTAGACGCACCCGCAAGAACGGCGTTGGCTGGGCAGTTTGACCAGGGAATAACACCACGTAGCTTCGTCTGTTAATATATCGAACTGCTCGGGCATCGTACCGGTTCCCATTAGATCGCCGAATCGCCCACGTTTTGGGGGCCATTTCTGTCGTTGCTCCCTCCAGCTCCTCGACTATTTCCGTCACCGATCGCTGGCGTCTCAACTTTGATTCATTTTGGCAGCTCAGTTTATCACTGCCACAGTTGGCAACTGGTATTCGGCAGAATTATTGTCCCTTCCTTCCTCACTTGGTAGGTGGTTTCGCCGGCAGTAACCCAGTGGTACGTACTGTACCTGGGTACTCGTATTTGATCTGTGCTCATCCAGACGCTATTCGCCCAAACCCTCGGCCACTCCACATTCTAATCTTTTTTTTTTCTCCTTCACCAAAATCTCCATCGTCGTCGGCTTTTACTCGTCCCTTCGGAGCTGGGGCCTCACCTCATCCGCACGCCCTTGAATTTGGACCTGTGCGGCTGTACGTCTCCATCTCGACGCCACCACCGCAGCGACGATTCCTGTTTCTGTCTCCTTTCCCGCTATTTCAGCTGCCCCTGAGTCGACATGACGATGCCTACTCTGCACAAAAAATGGATTTCATTACTCTACTGAACTCGCGAGTATCCTTTCGTCAGCCGGATCATCTCGGCAGCAAGATGCCAAAACTGTGCTACCGATGAGCAAGGCCCACCAAATCGCCCCAGTGATCTTCTAGGGCTAGCAGACCAGAGAGAGCAGGCCCTGAGAATGGACGCTTAGCAGCGCATTGTATGCCAGAAATGGAGGGCGAGTACCCGTTCGAGCAGAGCTACTGCCATGAGAAATCTCTTCTCTTCTTTTCTCTCCTTGATCGACTAGGAGCGACATCATAAGTGATGGCGCCATTCCTTGACAGTTGTGGCTAGGCATCCGGTGTCTCGGACGACGCTGAAGCCGCTCCCATTAATAGCCTGTCTCAGACCGATAGTCAGCGTCAGGCGAACACTAGTATTCCTGCTGCTGTGTAACGCCCAGCGACAGCCGCTTCGCCGAGACACACGCTATCCCGTGGCAGATGTTGAGCGCTGTCACAGGCGCCTCTGGACGGCAAGGGAACTGGAGCTTGTTAGTGGCGGCCCGGCCACTGTCAAGAGCAAAAGCCTTTGCTAGGAAGTGGATTTTGACTGGCGAAGATCACTACGCCAACCGCGCGCCGTCCCAAGCCACGCCCTCACAGTACGACCACTGTCCTGGCATGTACAGAACCCAAGTCTTATGGGTACAGCCAAGGGCAAGGGCAGGGGTGCTACCGCGCATCCGTTCCCCTGCTCGCCATGAGGTGAGATGCGTATTTGAGCATCCTGGCTCAGGTGAAGGATATGGAATTTTTTTCCACGGATAACGGCGTAGGATTTCCAGCCAATCCCTTCTTGAAGCGATAGCCAAGATGCTGCTGCTAATTTAATGCGAGACGGCATCGTAGCATTGTCTCCCGGGCCCGACTCGCCCCAAACAGCAAAGAATACGTGGTATTCGCTGCAGGGGATGCAGGGCGACTTTTGGAAACGTCATGCACCATTGGCCCCAAGTCCACTGTGACCTGTGCTCTCTTCAGCAGGGTCCATCCAGTTCTGCTCGGTCCAATCTGTCCCTACCACTCCATGTTACAAGTAGGGATCGACTAGCACTTCATGCGAGAGACGAGACCTGCCATCGTCTAACGCCACGCTTGACCATTAGGGACGAGTATCCTGGGTCTGACGTACGGATAAGGATACTCAATGCACCGTATTCAACCGAAATGGTCGCATTGAGGCCGAGGACTTGAGAAAGCGAACCTCCCAAGGGTCCCAGGCGGGAGTCTCGTGTCCCAGTTTGATGCTGACCGAAGGGAAAAGAAACCCTATCTAAGACACACCTCGCATCTGCTAGTTCGGATCCATTCATCGTCCGACACATTTTCACCCTTCCCGGCTTCTGGCCTCGAACACGCTCTCATTCCTATTTTCATATATTTCCCTTGGGGGCCGTCCTCCCCCTCGGTCCCGCTTATATCGATCCTCTTTTTTTTCTTGACCTTTCTTTACGTCTTACAATTAATTGTACAGTGACAGTTTAACATATACCGACTGTCGACTTGGCTTGGCGCTGGACGTGGACATAACTGTTCCCCGCCCTCTTTCTTCTGCAGCTCGTACCCTCGTCGCTGAGCCTCTCCCACTGCCTGAGCGCCACTTTGCATGGCAACCGTGGTCCCTGGTTCAGCCACCAACAACCTCAGCTTGGCTTGATCGATCAACAACCAACAACATCTCCAACATCTTCCACAATGGGTTGGGTCTTAAATGCCACGGAGGCTATAAACGATGAGTCTCAATATCCGACCATCATTGCCATTTGCGTCGTTCTTTCGGTGGTGTCTATCGCCGTCGTTGGTACCCGTCTTTGGATACGCTTCAAAGCACGCGGTCTTGCTAGTGATGACTGGATGTCTCTTCTATCCGTGGTGTTTGCTCTCATCTATTCGATTCTCTGCATTGTCCGTAAGTCAACACCATTGCATACTATTGGTCAGTTCCAAAGTCATGAGTAGGCATTGACACGATACACAGAAACAAGATATGGATTGGGACTGCCTATCAAGGACCGACCTCCGGCGAATCTGATTCCTTACACCAGAGTCAACTATGCAGGACGACCCATTTACCAAATCGGAATCAGCTTTTTCAAGATTGCACTCCTCATCAGCTATTTGCGGCTCCTCAAGGGGACAGACCAAAAGACGTATCGCTACGTTGTCTTTGGTACCATCCTGCTGGTCTTTCTGGCGCATCTTGGCTGCGCCCTCTCCCTTATCTTGGCCTGTCACCCTGTTGATAAGTCTTGGAACCCCCTGAAAGCCGGAACTTGCTTGGCGGCTGGACCTTCATTCACAGGCTATGCTGTTGTCACCATTGTTTCCGATATCATCGTTGCCATTCTGCCTCTGCCAGTTCTCCTCAAGCTCAACATCCAGACAAGCAAGAAAGTCGGTCTTATTGCCATCTTCTTGCTTGGTCTATTCACCACAATCTGTTCTATCCTGAGATATACACAGATCAACCGAATTTCCAACGGGGATGGCAACTCCACAATGCTTGTCCTTTGGGGTACCATTGAGTTCAATGTTGGCGTAAGTTATCTCCTTATTTGCTCTGCATGCACGCACCTAACTCATTATTTCAGAACATGGTTTCATCCCTGCCGTTCTTGGCACCGGTCTTTATGCGAAAGGCCAAGGAATACCGCACAAAGAACTCGTACAACAACGGATCATCCCATCAGAACAGTCGAGGAGGTCCCAAGGGCGAGCACTTCAAACTGAGCGACGTGACTGCCAGCCAGGATCACGACAACGATAAGGGCGTGATGACTGTTGCAAAGTCATCGAGCGAGGAGAATATCCTTCAGAACAGTGGCATTATGAAATCCATCACATACAGCGTACGAGTCGACGATGATCGCAACCAACCTAGACGGCGTAACGACAGTTTCGAAGATAACGTTTAGACCATGATGCTCTACGGCAGGCCTCTGTCTTGATTATGGAGCTTTCTGCGTTTTCTTTTGTTTATTTCCTTTGTTTACTTAAAAAGATATGATTCCTGTTTAGTATTTGATACTTTCTACTTTACTTCTATATTACGGAACGTTTGTTACGCTTTGGGTGGGCTTTTATTTTTATCCATACATCTCTTCTTGCTTCTCGCGAGGTGTTTAATAGGGGAGTACCAAAAAAATAACTGGAGTACTTGGGTTTAGGATAGCCTCAGAGGCAACGAATGCTATGGCTTTGAATAGTACTGCTACTTGAAACGATTTGTCACTTTACTCTTGGTACATGTCTTGTCTCCTCTTCTTTTTTTTCAAGTCTTAGATGAACAAGGCTTCAGCCGCGGAAACCTTTATGGACCCCCTTTGTAAGATTGTCTCAACAAGAAAGTCGCCAAAATGCATGAGAATAATCAATATTTGGAACCTTTCCAGCCTCAAGATTCAAATCGTCACAAACGGCCTTACCGCAACAGGCGATGATACCGAGGGGGTTCGCTCCCTCGCTCTCTCGCTAACAACGGACCTATTGAATTGACCTATAGGAAAAAACCAGACAGCAAAAAAAGAAAAGAAAGAAAGGGTCATGTACGGAGTACGAGTACAGCACTCGGACTCTGTGCTCCATACGTTCGGGGGGATTCCGTTCTCGTTTCGGATCCTCTTCCCGGCAGGTTTCTTGCATAGGGGGATCTAGAATTTGGCGACGGAGCAGGGCGCTAGGCTGGGGTGGTGATAGCGCGGGGATCCAGGAGACGGGATCCAGCCCACGCTTTAACGAGCTTTGTTTGGGCTGATTAAATTAACCATGTGCTGCCCTGCTCCCGTCGCTTCTGCTGAGGACATCAGGCCATGGGACGATGTCCGTACTGGGCTGATTGCTCCCTGCAGATGCTTTGTTTAGGTGCTCGGGATGGGGCCTCTCTCGTCTTGCCTTTCCCTTTCCTTTCGTTCTGCTCCGCAACACTCCGTTCCGCAGGTGGATATTTGACTAACATTAACATCCATGGATGAGAAGTCCCTGGAAGAAGTCCCGGAAGAGAGGCCTATTGGCCTTTGGCTGGCCCGCCGATGTCCAGGTACGTAGGCCAATGGGTAGGTAGGTAATAATGAGTGATAAAACACCTCAGCTGTGCATTGCGCCACGAACCAGGTGTCAAGGGCGAATTGAGGCGTAGGGATCGGACATGACTAGTTGAGTGGTTTGCTGTATTTGCTCGTATAACAGGACATTGCTCTGGGGAGCTGATGTACTAAGCTACAACTACTTGATTAGCTCCGTGGACTCGTCGTCAAACTGGAGCATCATCTCGCGCTTGCTGAGCAACGGGCTGACGCCGGTCGCTGCCTCTCCAAACAGCCTGGAAAAGGCGTGCGCGTCTAAGCAAGCCCTGCGTGAGGCCAGTACCCCTGGCCGGGCACGAGAGACGACGGCGTCTTCATAGGCATCTAGCGCCTGGCGCAGAGCCTGCCGGAAATCCGAACCTTGACTCTGAAGGGTAGGCACTTGCGAGTCCGTCCTTGCGCTGAAGTCGTCGCGATTGTGCGCCAGTAGTGGGACGACGTGCGTCGCAAAGTCGAGCACGTCGACGATAGCATGGTTGGCGCCTTCGCCACGGTCTAGGGCAGAGTAAGTCAGTGTCGCCAATCTACTCCGAACTGCCGAGGGTAATTCGGAAGAGTGCTAGAAAACAACTCGGGGAAAAAAAACATCAAGGATCGGGAAATTTTGAGGAAGCAGAAAATACCATCTCCGGGAAACAACTTACACATGGACATTAGATGGAACGCATCGCCCATCAACACCACTTGGCCATTCGAGTGCAAGCCTATGGGCGGTGCCCAGTCAAGCACATCCAGGCGCTTGATTTCCGTGTCGGCATGCACATTGTTCAAAACAAGAGACCGGAAAGGATCGGACCAAGTTTTTGCAAAGGCACGCAACAGCTCGCATCGTTCCTTGTTGGTGGCCGGGACGTCTAGCGGCGCTCCGCTGCCCGGATATGGCCACGAGCAGTGCAGCTGGCAGCTGAAGACATCGGGGTCGCTGTCGGCCTGGTTTCCGGGGACATCGAGGACTGGAAATCAAGTGCAAAACAATGCGTTAGCAAATGCAACAATTTTCATCCTTTTTTTTTTTTTTTTTAGTTTCGCAGCAGATGCACATCTTTGAAGCGCCTTGTCACTTCTCATCGCCTGAATCTTACAGTCGCCACCACGGGAGGGATGATCGCCAGATCCGCGACGGCGGCCGCCGCTCCCGCTTGTGCTCCGTACCTCGTGATGGGTACGATACGTGCATGTGCTCCGTATCTGGAGCTCCACAGAACAAAATGCTCAGCGCGGGCCGAAGCCCTAACAGCACCAAAGATCGACCCAAGACAACGAGACAAGGCCGCCGAGCAGAATAATGCAGGTGCACTCTGCTATAGCGGAAAGAAAATGAAGAGTGCAAAGAAGAAAAACTCAAGAACAGGTAACAGAAAACGGGTGCTTGTGCCACTCACCGCTGATGTACATGAAGGAATCGTTGGTTGGCGATGCACCTTGGAGGAAAAACAGATCTAGTTTCCGGATCGGCTCGATCTGCTCCGCCGTCAAGAACATCTTGACACCCATGGTCCGTACAGGCAGCTGCAGCATCAGGTTTGTCTGGTCAGGGAACAGGGCGCGACGCACGCGCGACTGGCCTCCATCGCATGCGACCAACAGCGTCCCGGTGCATGAGGTGCCATCTTCAAAAGAGATGCTGACTGTGCCGTTGTCGCTGGTATGGAACTCGCGGAGGGTTTTCCCCCACTTGAGTTGAGATTGTTAGCGGAAAAAATGCGCAATGGGATGAAGGAAAAGATGTGAAGCAAGCCGTTAAGATAGCAGACGAGTAGTAGAAAAGCTTGGAAGAAGAAAAAGAGAAGAAAAAGAAAAAGAACTGTAGATCCAATGCTGGCGTCAATTTGAACCTGCATGAGGAAAGTGGGATGGCATAGACATTGAGGGAAAGAAGGATCAAGGACATCAACAGCATCAACGGCAACAACACCCGACTTGCGGCTTACCTCAATCTCAATCCCCTCTGCCAATAATTTCCGCAACCTCTGCCGAGTCACTCGAACTCTTGCGCTCTTGACCGCTCCCGGCGTCTGAGTCTTGAGCTCTCCGCTATCAAGATCGAAGAAGGGGAATCTCGACAGCTCACCACGTCGATCCGCCCATCGATCCACGCTGGATTCGTCGCAGATACGCTCCGCAAGCCCCGGCGGCAACAGGTTCTGCAGCGCCGTGAGAGACCAGTGCAGCGTCAAGCCCCAGCCGGCGCCGCGAGTCGCCAAATCGGCATCCCGCTCGAAGATGCGGTACGAGACGCCCTCGCGCTTGAGGTGCTGGGCGAGCAGCAGCCCACTGACGCCAGCGCCGATGATGAGGACGACCGGCTTGGCGTTTCCGGGCGCACTGGCCTCGGGGCCGGCGCTGTCGGTGCTGATGACCATTTTCGCCTCTTTTCTTCTATCTGTTGGCTCGTGTCTTTTAAAATCTCCGCGATGCAACGGTAAGAAACGTCTAAGGCTTGGAGAATCCCTGCTCGGGGCTGATACAGGTCGCAGTGGTTAGCAGCTGCAGAAGTCGTTGAAAATAGCAACGCAGCAAGCTTGGAAGCGTCTCGTTTCGGCCGCAGCAGGTAAAACAAAAACATAAAACACCAGTGGGGGGAGTTTCCAACGCAAGGTGTTAGGTTGCATCAAATACCAGTGCCAGCCAAGTCCCTCTCCGGATCGACTCTCAATCGCGCTGCAAGAGTCCCCACAGGCCTGGAGCCGACGCCCTTTTCAAGCGTTAAAACCAGCATGGCATTTGTACAACTGCCTGCTTCTAGTCTGAATTCGTCGGCGATTAAAAGGCCGAGCGCGAGAAAACAAGACAAAAAGAAGAAGAAAAAGGAAAATGTGTCATAACGGGCCGCAAAAAGCAATCCTTGTCTTGGGATGGCTCTAACGGATTGGCCGAGACATTCCCCAGCTTTTTCTTCTTCTTCGCCTTCTCTCGGCCACTCTGCGGTACCGAAGCAGTCCCCTTGGTTCCTAGTGCACGGTGAGTATCCATACTCCATCCTCAGTGCTCCTCATGGTTGCATCGGTCAGAACTCAATGGATCCTAAGGTACATCGCTCCATATTGCAGGGTCCATACAGAGCGGACTACGAGTAGTGAGTGCAGGTACGAAGTATTACGAGTGCAGTTTGTCTTTCCCCTCGGGTAAAAACTCCTTGCATGCAGCTTAGCTTACAAGTACGCCTAGAACACAAATGTGCTGAAAAATATCAAATACGGAGCCACTGATGCATCCGAAGTAATGCAAAGTACTAGCACCGGAGATTGGATTTGCTTTTTCTTTTCCCTTTTGTTTTGGCCAGAGTGCTGTGGCTGCGGAAGGATTCGCTATCCGCCAATCTTGCTTTGATTTTCACAATGATATCAGACCTGTCACTGTGATTTAAACCAGATGCAGCGGCTCCCTCCATGTCTTGCTGCACAGATCGTTCGATTTCACTCAATATGGAACAGGAAATGATTGTCGTCGACACGCACTTACGGGCCCGTCAAATCAATATCAATCGCGCCGGCTACCGAGCCCATGGCTTCAGTCTGAATAGCACTTGCACCATGCTAGTACGGTACTATCGATGCTGGTTTTCTCTCTCTAGGGCTCCCCTTGCATCCCAGAAGCCTCCAAGGGAGACATGTGGTCGCTTGGCCAAAGCAGGGTTCCCTTTGGAGAGAAGATGCATCTATTTCCACGGTCCCTTGCATGCCCCCAGGCACGAGTGCTGACTGATACAATGGGCATCTAAAAACGAGTCCATTCCCGATAGCATCAAGCACCGCTTGCCAAGTGGGACGGCGGCTTGTAAGGAGTCCCTTGCCGGCCCCATCTCGCGGCATTTTGGTGCTGGTTCGCACTAGAGCAGTATGTACTTGCGCCAGGCCTGCCAGGTACATGTGTCTTTTCGCGCACACTGTGACCGGCCTGTGGGACTGTGGCCGTCACAATCTTTAGCATCTGGATCCCTGGTCCGGCGAGGTGCCAGCTTTTGGCCCCCAAGAACCCACCCTTCTCCAGGACTCAGTTCAGTCTGCTAGACTTGCACTACATGACTACGTACTCCGTTTAAGCAACTCTCTCATGCGGGTGTTCTAGCATCATCACATCGCTCTAGCTGGTGGGTTGGCCTACTGATTCTCCATGCTCCAGCGATTTCATCGCCGGCTTTGGCTTCTGGGTCCGGGTGGTCCATGACACCGTTCCGGTGCATTGCGACTAGAACTGCAGAGACCAGGTCTTTAGCCTCAGCTCACAGGTTGTTTCCTGCTTTCTCCTCGCCAGCTTCCAAAACTAGTTCTCGACGAATGCCCAATATGGGGCTCCGTTGTCTGTGGCCAGACTCTCCGGGAGAGCCGATGCAGCAGTTTTTCCTGCAGTCCATGGACAAGTTCTCGCATGCACAGCCAATCTTGGATAATTACTCAATCGTCAAAAGCAGACTAGACCAAACCACTCCGTCGGTTGAGCGTTGATAGCCGAACCGGGGATGGCTATTCCAACCAACAGATGCGAGTGCAGGCCGGCCAACGTCACACACCGGAATTGTACTTGGGATTTTTTTCCCAACTACTTTTCCCTCACTCCTCCGACAGCAGCGGTCTCTTGGCGGCCGGTTTTTACGAGATATTAGTCTTTTCCCACCGTAACAAGAGCCAACCATGCGTCTGCCCTGAGCCTCGTCTTAGCTTAATCTCCCAGAGGCAGGGAACTTATGTCAACACCACGCAGACGAGTATTACCTATGCGACGGCGACCGTGAATGCTGTCCAAGATTACTCTCCGTCTCAATAACCTCTGTCAAAAGTCAACGGGATTGATGAAAAGAACAAGGTGTTGTCATCCACCGTCGCCCCTTTACCTGAGAATGGTCATTTCAAAACTCCATCGGACCGCCCCTTATTCTTTCTAGACACATCCATATATGGGACAAGGCTTTAGTAATGCTTCGTCGTAATGGGCCTGATCCGATATTGAGAGCCTTTTTGGGTCAAGGTCACAGCTTACTCATCTTGCGGCAGGTGGCTACGACTCTCTCTCGTGAACCTCTTGTCATTCATGTTACTGCATCACTCATTTCACGCGTGTACCTGGAACCATCATGTTTTGGGATACACAACTGTGCTGGAAATTCATTCATTTTTTGCCATGCCCTGAACCCTTAAAACACCGATGATAATCCCATAAATCCCAATGCAACCCGGGTATTAGAAAGCTTAGATCTTGGTAGCAGCCTCAAGAGCCTTCTGCTTCTTGATGATGCGCATCTGAGCCTTGGGGCCCATGATGCCACCACCCCACTGTCGGCGGACCTGGTCGTGCTTCTCCAGGTAGCCATCCTTGATGGCAGAGACGAGCTTGGACAGCTCGTTCTTGTCCTCAGAGCGGACCTCAGTGAGGGCGAGGACGGCAGCGGTCTATGGCAAAGTTAGTTTTCTCATCCATACCTCTTTTGATATCTGGGAACTAGACTGACCTTCTTGTGGACGACAGTGCCGAGACGAGCCTTGCCCTTGATGATGGCGTAGGGGATGCCCATCTTCTTGCAGAGAGAAGGAAGAAAGACAACCAGCTCAATGGGGTCAACATCGTTGGGGATGAGGACGAGAGAAGCCTTCTTGTTCTCAATCAGGCCAACAACGTGGTTGAGACCATACTTGACGGTGTAGGGCTTCTTGCTGACGTCCTCCTTCTTCTTGCCCTCCTTGACGGCGGTAGCCTCCTTCAGGAGACGCTCCTTCTTCTCGACCTTGGTCTCAGGTCGGTACTTGTTGAGGAGCTTGAAAGCCTGGGCGGCAGTGTTGCGGTCAAGGACGTGCTGGAACTGGGCCAGAGAGGGGGGGACCTTGAGACGCAGGCGAAGGATCTTGCGCTGGCGCTGGAGGCGGACATACTCGGGCCACTTTACCATGCGAGACAGGTTTCGCTTGGGCTGGATGTCCTGGCCGATGCCATAGTTGCGAGGGCGCTTCTCGATGAGGGGGTTCTATGCCATCTTGTTAGATATCTACGAGGTGTCGTCTCAACATGTTGGGGAGGGGTATTAGAAAAATTTCTTCACTAACCTTGGGTCCCTTCTTGCCAGCCTTGCTCTGAGGGAACGGAGCAGGGGCGACCTTCTTGCCAGATTTGGGAGGCTGTCATTGAGAAAAGAAGACATCAGCGAGGGGCTCAAGCCAAAAAGTCTTCTCTGAACTCTAACGAGAACACATTGTGGCATATTTCAGCAACACATTTGTGTCTCCAGCCAAGTCTTCACCTTTCAGTCCACACACGAGGTGTGAACGTCAGGCGGAATGTTTTCCAACAGGTTTGCATAAAAGCTAGACGCTGTTGCATCAATTGCGCTTTCGCGCATTTGACTCACAAACTGTGGCCATTAGAGTCTTTTGGTTGACTGTTAACTTACCATCTTGTACTATGGGCGACGGGGTGATTTGTCGAGGTTGAACAAATTTCCTTGGAGGCAGGTTGCGAAGAAGAGTAAAAGAAAAGTTCGTCGGTTAGCTCGTGGGCGGAAAATTAGGGCTTTGGCGTCCCGCGACTTGTGGGCCCTAACGCTATGAGAAGGCTTCGAGGTGTGGCTTGTGTGGCGTGTATGCACGTGATCTTATCGATTGCTAAGAAAAAAGATCGATAAGAGATAAGAAGTACCCTGGAGTCATTTCCAATGCTTGGCGCCTTGAGAGTTTGTCAGGTTGTCTGGAGTTCATTTGATGAATCGTTGATATTGTGAAGACCGGATCCATATTATACCCTTTTGTTTTTATTTAGAGATCAAACACCTCAAAATCCCTCGACTCAAAACGCTGAGTATATACAGCGCTGCTATAAACTGGAGTATATACATCAACGACTACCAGTAACCTCATCCCATCGCACCATATATTCACATTAGATTTCTTACAAGATGCCGCCCACCACATGCGTGCGCTGCCAGGCGAACAAGGCAGTTGTTAAGCGGCCAAAGAACCATCATAAGCTATGCCGCGAATGCTTCATCACCGTCTTTGAGGATGAAGTACACCATACCATCATCTCGTCCAAGTTGTTCTACCCCGGAGAAAAGGTTGCTATCGGAGCGTCAGGAGGCAAGGATTCAACAGTGCTGGCATCTGTTCTGAAGACCCTCAACGAGCGCCACAAGTATGAGCTTGATCTAGTCCTTCTCAGCATAGACGAGGGCATCAAAGGCTATCGAGATGATTCTCTGGAAACGGTGAAGCGAAACGCAGTTCAGTACGACATGCCCTTGAAGATTGTGGGTTACGAGGAACTATATGGCTGGACAATGGACCAAGTCGTGGAGACTATTGGAAAGAAGGGAAACTGCACATACTGCGGTGTCTTTCGTCGGCAGGCGTTGGATCGAGGTGCAAAGACGCTGGGAATCAAGCACGTTGTTACCGGACACAATGCGGATGATGTTGCGGAGACTGTCCTCATGAATCTCCTCAGGGGAGATTTGCCTCGACTATCCCGTAGCACCAGCATTGTTACTGGCGGCTCATTGAACGACGTCAAGAGAAGCAAGCCTCTCAAGTACGCCTACGAGAAGGAGATTGTGCTGTATGCACATCACAAGAAGCTGGATTATTTCAGTACGGAATGCATATACAGCCCCGAAGCATTTCGAGGGACAGCGAGAAGTCTCATCAAGAATTTGGAAAAGGTCCGGCCAAGTGCAATATTGGATATTGTCCGGAGCGGCGAGGACATGGCCCGTCTAACGCCAGACAAAGGACAAGGGGCATGCGCCTGTGACGAAAGTGAGGGCATGGGAGGCTGTGGATCGGCCAATGCTCGAACGCCAGGGAACGAGATCACACAAGTGGAAGCGAGCACCACGGAACAACCTACAGATAATGGGCTCGAGGTTGAAATCACATCAAATGGCACACCCAAAGTCAATGATGACGATGTCGTAAAGCTCCCTGTACGGCAGCGCCGCTCCAAGGAGCCCGGCCCTGTTCAACTACAAACGCTCGGAAAATGCGTCAAGTGCGGCTACATGTCTAGCCAAGCAATGTGCCAGGCTTGCACATTATTGGAAAGTCTCAACAAGAACCGACCGGAGATCTCAATATAGAGTTAGTTTTTTTGCCAATAAATTCCCAACATAAGCCAGCATTTATTAGCACTGCCATGTGAATGCTTGGGTAACGAGGCCGAATTCAGGCTCCATATCTGCCGTCCACCATTCAGTCAAGCCCACTCGTAATCTGGTATATACACTTTCTTTCATTTTGGATTCCGAGGTCCCCCTCTCTAGTCTGTTGAGTTGTATACAAATAAATGGTTCCTTAGGTGAATCTCTTCTCAAGCTGTATGCAGTATCAGCATTTGTTTGTCCGTAGGATGACATTTGTACGTGAGTCGACTTTACCTTCCATCCATTGCTGAATTCGAATCCCAATGGAGCCTCTGGGTTGTCGGTTTGTCCTCTCAATGTGCCTGTCAGGCGTCGGTCTCGCTCCATCACTTCGAGTTCGTTAGTATCCAAATCGACCGCTGCCTGTATCGAGTGAAAATTCGTCTGATTGAGAGTTTCTTACTTTGCTGCAAGTAATAGTTAGTTATCGGATGTAAATAACCGCATTCCCGGCTGGAGTTGACTGACCTTGTCCCACTGATCCAATGAATAGCGCGGTCGCTTGCCCTCGTTCTGCCACGTCTTGAAGGCTGCAAGTCCGGTACCCGAGACACCAAACATCTATTCGCAAACTGTGAGCCGCCTCGCATTCCCCTGTGGTGAAATCTCGCTCGCTGTAATACGCACGACAATCATGATACCATACGGTATCAGAGTTTCGAAAGGGACAGGCATGGTTGTGCTGTGCCGCCTCGACGGTCTTCTGGGCTATGTGTCGGTTGAGTAAAACAGGTCGAAATCGAATTGACCGCTCGACAATCGGAACACGGCCGCAATATCGAGATTCTGCCGAGCGTCGTTCTTGATACTGAGCCTGCACGTCAGTGGGCAGAGGACCAATTGGAGCTATCAATTTTGATGCCTGAGGCCTCAGTGGGACATCCCTGTACCAACGTATAGTTAGCGCACTGGGTTCTCATACTGTAGGCGAGCCGATATTTGGCGGGGAAACGCGATTATTGAATGCGCACGCACTGTGACTCCTGCTTCCGCGACTTTGGGGCAAGCTTGGAGAACGCGACTGTAGTGATTTGTTGTCGCATTGCTTCCAGCAGCAGTCAACAGAAAACCGCTGTGGCAACATGCACTTTTTTAGGTAGGATCTATGCATCCAGTTGGGTGATTCCATATGGCTTACCTGGAAACAGCAGCAATTAGTCACTTTCTGCTTCACGAAGCCTATCGAGAGAGCGCCACACATGCCACCCGAGTCCAGATCGCAAACGCCGAGTCTCGATCGATATGCCATCGTCAGAGCCACATCTGCACTCCGAGAGTTCCATTAAGCAGCGATAACCATGACGAGTGCGCAGTCGATGGAGGAGGAGCTGCAGCAGAGCGTCATGCTCTCCGAAGACGCTGAATACGAGACGGCAGATACGGCTGGCGAGGATGTGTTTACACCGGCAGCTACAAAGGAGAGGACTATGAGCACAGTCTTTGCCCAGACTACGATAAGGGGCACTGACGGCATGGAAGTGGACGAAGAGGATGACGGCGACGAGCTGAGTGATCGTGACGCTTCTGGAGAGGAGATCGACGAGGAAATGGATCAAGATGCGGAGGGAGAAGATTATACCGAGATTGTTGTGGATCAGCAGATTGTGGTCAGCAACGGCCGCCCCTTCCAAATGAACGACGACGATAACGATGACGACGACGAAGAGGAAGACGAAGAAGACGAAGATGCGGATGGTGAGGAAGACGGTGATGAAGGGGTTGGTGCCGTCAAGATTAAGCCAGGGGATACGGATGATGAGGACGAGGACGATGAAGATGCGGAGAGTGATGTTTCAGAACCACTCAGTAATGCTGAGGATGATTCTGACGAGGAGCCCGCTTGGGAAGATGCTGGAGAGGTGGAAGAGGATGACGAATCAGAGACCGGCCCTTCAAACGTCTGCATGTTTTGTAAACAAGATGAAGAAAACGACCCGAGCGAGGATTTCGAGGCATTCCTGACGTGCTCCAGATGTAACGAAAATGGTGGGTTCTGGAGAAGCTGCAAGATGTCAATACAGGCTTGGCTAACGTACCTCAGCTCACCAGCAATGCGCACGAGATGCGGCGGCGATGAGCGAACAGAACAGTAAGTCATTGTCAAACCGGTCCCTGAAAACATGTCACTGACTCAGGTCCAGCTGCAAAACGTTGGAAATGTCCAGAGTGTGATAATAGCGACTCTGACCAGGAGGAGGAAGAGCCCGAAGAACGAGAGAGGGGGGCCAGCGTTGACGACGAAACTAGGCCTGAGTCGCAGCTCTCTGATGCCCCTCCTGAACTCTCTCCTAGACATCACATGCAAGATGGCGCAGAGGCAGAACCCAACCTCAACGACCCCGCAGCCCATGCAGAAGCCTCGGACGAGCCTCGTCTACTGCGGAAGAGAAAGACTTCGTCTGCAGAGCCTGAAGAAGCCACAATTGCCCTGCGGAGACGCCGGCGGGGTCTCTCAACAGACGCGGCATCGGGTAATGAAGACACTGATAGTAAATCAGCGGAGCAAACGAGGGGGAGCTCCCGTGCGGTTCGACTAAAAGTTGCTCGCCCATCTCTCGTCGTCATCGAAAAGAAGTCACGAGTGTCTCTTGTCGTGACGATGCGCGTGCGGCCGGGGAATCTCAAAGAGATACTTTCACGCAGACGAAGAGAACGGAGACGTTCTGGAGCAAGCACGCGGCCACCACGGACTCCAGTCGCACCATCAGCTGTGCGCCCCAACTCTGCAGCCGTTACGGCACCGCCTGCCGCATTCCTGACGCCCTTCACCACTGATTCCTATTCAACACCTTTCTACTCCTTATTCGATAAAGAAACCGAAGATATGAAGGGCAAGCCCTACGGTGGTATCTTGACAGAAGCGGAAGCAGACACATCAAAGACGCTCCCGCAGCCTGACGATCGGAGACGATTTGACCAAGCCAAGCAGCGTGCAGAGGATGAATGGAGAGCACGTGTGCTGGCAATGCAGGCAGAGGTGGACATGCCTATCCGCAAGTCGAAGAAGTCAAGCGATAATGCCAGCCAGATAGAGTGCATCGAGTTTGGCGGCTGGGAGATCGATACGTGGTACGCAGCACCATATCCAGCCGAGTACAGCAGGAACCGTGTGCTGTACATATGCGAGTTCTGCCTAAAATACATGAACTCGGACTACGTGGCGTGGCGTCATAAGCTGAAATGCGCTGCGAAGCATCCTCCGGGCGACGAGATTTATCGACATGGATCGGTGTCGGTGTTTGAAGTTGACGGCCGCAAGAACCCAGTCTACTGCCAAAATCTGTGTCTTTTGGCAAAGCTTTTCCTAGGGTCTAAGACACTGTATTACGACGTGGAACCATTCTTGTTTTACGTCTTGTGTGAGTACGATGACTGCGGCTACCATTTTGTCGGCTACTTCTCCAAGGAGAAGCGCGCGAGCAGCCAAAACAACGTCTCATGCATTTTAACCTTGCCTATTCACCAGAGAAAGGGATACGGCAACCTACTCATTGATTTCTCATATCTCCTTACCAAAGTGGAAGAGAAGACGGGGTCTCCGGAGAAGCCGCTCTCCGATATGGGCCTTGTCTCCTATAGAAACTACTGGCGTCTACGGCTCTGCCGATACTTCATCGAGACGTTAAAGGACGATCAGCACAAGCAAAACGGGCTGAGTATCAGGCAAATATCAGATGATACGGGCATGACACCAGACGACGTGATTGCCGCTTTAGAAGGCCTTCGAGCGCTGGTGCGGGATCCACAGACAAAAGTGTATGCCTTCCGGATCGATCTAGAGTACTGCCGACAGTATGTGGCCAAATGGGAATCCAAAGGTTATGTGCAGCTGAAGCCCGAGGCTCTTGCGTGGACGCCATACGTGATGGGTCGCAGCAATGCTGTCAACTTTGAACTTGGCCCGCCTATCAATACGATTGCCCCTCGGGAAGACGATGAGGCTAAGCTTGAAGAGGGCGCTAACGGCATATCGGGAGAAAACCATTCCATTATGATGGACGGTGAAATGAACGATGGGCCTCAGTCGAGAATTGGTTCTGCATCGGAGACGGGTGATTCAAGTAATAGCAACCCCGGATTCACACCAATCTTGTCGATCGAGGAGAAGATGGCTCCTGAAGATAAAGAAAACGCAGAACCGCAAGACGAAGCCATGGATGACGTGGATTCAGAACCAGATTGGATGACGCCGTATCGCGATATACCACCACACCGCTTTGAGGTTTTCCCACCTGTAGCCGGTAGCCGCCGTGCCGACCGCTCGCGACAGAGCGTGAGCAGACCATTGGTGCCTCGCAGCTCGGGTGGCGGCAGCAGCTCTCGACCACGCCCGAAAAGGGCTGGGGGAAGCAGCCGGCGACCTACTGCCAGCCGCCCTAGAAGCAGCGGATCTAGGAGAAGGACCGGCGGCACTGGTCGTGGTCCTGGCAGGTGGCCTAAGGGGACGAAGAAGTCGGACTACGGCAATGCAGACAGCGGGCCGGGATTACCCCCTGGATGGAGGGACAGGGCAGCTCTTGGAGCAGACTTGGTCACAGATGGCGATCACAGCGTTTCCACATCTTTGGGCGACGAAGAGCCTGCTAAGGACGAAGTTCGAGTCATGACTCCTCAACCGTCGAGCAACGGATTTGTGCTAAGCGTCGTACAGCTGGGCGGCCAGGCAGCGGCGGCATCCGACCAAGGGATCAACGGGAGAGACGAAGAAGAAGAAGAATTGGATGTGGATGCTGAGGGCGAAGACGAATAGTGAAACTGCCGACTGCAATTCACGGGGGATGTTCTTTTTTGGCTCTCTCTCTCTTTGTTTTTTTGGGACTGCTCAGCATGCGTAGGGCGTTGGAAAGGGATATCAAAACTTGATTCTTGCCCTTTGTTGTATCTTATTAAACTTGTTGTTATTTGTTTTTAATTGCTCTTTGCCGGTATCGTTGGGAAGGGGGCCGGCGTAAGGGCTGGTTGGGTGGCGCCACGGAACACCGGGGGGTATACCTTTTAGTATTATTATTATCATGTGTCTTGTACGTGAGGATGATTTGAAGCTGTAGAGTATGAGACTCTGTAACGTAAACCAAGCAAAGCATTCTATGATCTATATATCTTGTAACAATGTGATTCACCTCCTACCAAGCGGAGGACAGAAAGCCCAAGACTAAGAAGCTTTCGAACACACGAGTTAAATCGTACGTCTATAAAGAGAGTGGCTGCTATATTTACATTTCCCTAGTAACTGCTATTATGTCTATATTTCTCTAGTAACCTCTGCTTGCCCACTTCTCCCCTCCACCATCACCATCGCCATCGCCATCTTTCCTCCTCTCCTCCCAAAATCCCTTCCCATAACTCACCAGTATCTCCTCCCCCTTCTTAATCCCCCCTTCACTCTTCTTCTTCATCTTCTTCTTCCCATCATCTTTCGCCTTCCCTCCTCCCACCGCCCAAACTCCCACGCAAACCTCCCCCCATCTCTCACAAAACACATTCCCAAACCTCGCATTCGCCCTCTCCTTACCCTCAATCCCCCGATAATCATTCACAAACCTCCCCTCATTCCCTTCCCCCGCCGCGTCCACCGCTACATCCATCTCCCGATCCAGCCAAAGATCGTAATCGCTCTCCTCGCTCGTCGTAGCCCTTCCGTGCAGCCTTCCAAGGTACGCCAGTATCAGCTCCCCCGGCGCAATGTTCTGCGCCGCGAATAGTCCGAACTGGCCGTATGCGGGATGATTACGATCTGTGATGGCCTGGATCTTGACGCGCGGGCATGGAGTTTCCGTTGCGGGCGACGAGGCTGGTGCTATGGGAACTTGGTCGATGGCGCTGCTCTCATTGGGGGGTTTTGTGCGGAGGAATTGGATGTGTGAGGGGGAAATATCTTTGCCGTAGAGAGGGGCCTTGAGATAGGGGAGTGTTGCAGGCCAGTTTTTGGGCTTCGACATGGCTTTTTCAAAGAGAGATGGAAGATGGAAGATTCATAGGATGTAATATTGTATTGAAATTTTATTTTGCAAGAGCAAGATTTTGTTCCTGGCCGAAGATTTGGCGTTGGGTCTAAGTGGTGTCTCACTTATACAACCGACATGATTTTGAACTGCATCCGCATCTTCATTACACGCGATGGCAAAATCGCATCAATCTAAATAGAACAGCTATTATACTACACTACTAATGCAGCCCTTGATTGGCTCTTGCTTTCCTTTCCCTGTCCTTCCACTCATGATACTAGCTAATCTCTTCCCCTCCCAGTGTGCGCATCTCCTTCGTCTTTTCAATGGAGGAATAAAAAGAAAACAGTGAATACATAAAAAGAAAACCCAATGCAGCAGATATTTCCGAGCCCTGTCCATTTCATCTCATCTCGTCTGGTCTCATTTCCAAGCCCTTAATGCGACATCACCTCTCTGTAACGGTCCAGACTCAGGTCAACCGAGTATGCAAGCAGTCGATCTTGTGTAAGTGGAAGGCTCAAAATTCTGGATCGAAGTTCCATATCCTGCAATCAAGTTAGTGGAAGATGGTCAAAAGGATATTTTTCCAATGGAAGAACCACATACCTGTTTCTGTCGTGTCAACTTTACAATTTCTCTAGCAGTCTCGTCTGCCATGTCGGAGATAGCAGCGTATCGCGTGATGTTGTTTTCAACTCCAATATCCTTCATCGCGTTCAAACCAGCAAGGAGCCTGTCCAGCAATGCAGGGGGGACCATTTCTCCCTTGCCACGGCATTCGATCAGCTGGAGGAAGTGGCCATAAATCTCGCCACCTTGGGTCCATTCTGTGATGCCCTGTTGGCGATCTTGGAACTGCGAGATGAGGGACAACAAGCCGGCGTAATCACGCTCAATAATGGCCTGCGGAGCAACATGCTGAACCAAGATGCGATGGGCTTCAACGTGCGATCCCGCTCGCAAAAGGCACTGCATTTCAGCCACGGAATCTTTCTTCACGCAACGCATATACAGCGCAAGAGCTTCCCAGATCCAAGCAGCCGGGATGCGATACTTCTCGGTGAGCATGACAAAGTTGGCATCCGACTCAGATCCAATCAAGTTGGCGTGCTGGCAGAGGTGTTCTTGAAGTGCCTTTTTGCGTGCTGCTGTGTGGTGGAGGTGTAGCAATACGAAAGCAGCTTCGAGCCACTCGCCTGCTCGGGTAAGTTGGGCAGCATATGCAAGAGTAGCAGCATCAGCCTTCTCAACCCCGTTTGCGCCATACGAGACCTTTCCAGTGGATGTCAGGGCGATGCCCAGTTGCCATCGAAGTCTTGCCTCAAGAGGGGATAGCTGCGAGTTCTCCGGACGAAGGACAGCCTCCAAGTCGGCATCTTGATCAGCATACAGCTGCAAAAGGCCCCATAACAGATCTTGACGGGTATCGATCTTGGCGTCATCCCAAAGAGGTGCGATGCCCTGCTCAACGTACCAAGGGCGAGGCAAGTCTTCCTTGTCTTGATCAATGTCGTCCTTGAACTTTTCAACGGCAGCGGACAAGTCATCATGGTTCGAAATGGCATACCACAATCGCAGGCCGAAAGATTGTCTCCAGTCCAAACCAAAGTGCTTTGAGATGACAAAAGAATCAACTCGATCCTCGTTGGGCACACCCTTCAAACCCTCGCAGACACAGACATTTCCACCCAAGAGCTCGTAAATGGTACGGATGGCCTCGGAAAACTCGGACAGTATCTTCGAATCCAGCCACGACTTCACCTGCTCTCTCATTTCCCTCTTGGCGACATCACTAGTGCCGATCAGGGGGACCAGAGTTGCAAGGCGGAAGTTTTTGCCGTCCAAGAGGTGTTTGCAGGCTTCTGGGATTCGGTGACCAGCAAGACATGCGAGCGCCTTTTCTTCACTGGAGGCTGCTAGGCCAATGCCTGTCGATGAGGCTTGTTCGACCAAATCGGACCAGAATTGGGACAGCTTATTTCTTCGCGCCAAATGTTCCTCCTCCATCGAATTTTGGTTGTCGAGATTGTCGAACAGGATGCTTGCGAGCTCCCACACCTGCTTCTCATGGATGCTAGCTGCATCATTCGTATATTTAGGCTGATACAGGCTCTTGAGACTTGTAACATGAAGGCTGGCCTGTGGCACTCCTTCAACAACATCGATCTCGGTTACAACATCCTGGGAGGCGAGATACTTCTTCGATGGCTGAAACCCATGTTAGTCAATGCTTTTTATCAGTCCACATTACACGACGCCTCTTACTTCAGCAGCGAACGTAGCTAGGCGGATATCCTGCTCGTCGGTCTGTATACTAGACCGCTGATACGTCAGGATATCTGAGGCATCACGTATTGACCGACGCGAGTGTGAGCCATCCAAGGACCGAACCAAGACAAGCGTCTCATCCGGCCCCCAGGTTGGCCTCGAGGCGCTGTGAAAGGCGCGCTCGTCTTCTTCAGCTGTGGCGGTCTTAGCCTGTCTTTCGTACGGGAACTATAATGGACACATGATATTTTAGCATTCTATTCATTATTTGGTTAAATACACAGGGGGCCTCCACCCAGCCCAAAAAAAAGTATTATCAATCTCAACGAGAAAAGAAAAGGGGATGTCAAGTCACGAAACAATGAGGGTACCGACCTTGGGAAAACCTTTGGCGGACTGAGAAGCGTTAAACTCCTGGCGTGTCGGCTTTGGCTTTGGCTTCTCAAACAAGGAATTCATCAAGTCGATACTCGTGGCAAATCCACGTCCTTGATCCATACCAATCTGAGCACCAGTCGCAGCTCCATTCTTCCTGTCGGGCCTGCTCATGCTCCTGCCCCAAATGGACGACTTTCGAAAATCCGATTCATCATCGAGATCAAATGTGACTGTCTTTCCCTGCTTAGAGGTAGGACCAGCCACTTCCCTTAGTAGATGGCGGTCCCGCTTCATCGGGCTGACCGTCTTTCTCAACATTTCCATCCAATCGTCGCCATCTGCGACTTCAAGCTTCACGGGGCCAGCTGAATCCTTCATCGCTCTCATTCTGGCTCTGAGAATGCCGCCAGGAGTTGCGGTCGAGCGCTTAACATCCTGGCCACCCTCGGACGAGGCATCGTCATGCTCCGCGGCGAGATGCTGTCCGACAGAAGACCTCGTCATGTCTTCATCCTCGGACATATCATACTCTGCGATGTCGTCACCGGTCATTTCGTTTTCCAGCGACAATTTGACATCATGTGTGGCAGAGTCCGCGGAGCTAGCCCCTAAAAAAGACTGTCGCCCAGGGAACTCGGTCGCAAACAGCTTCTCCTGGTCATCGAATGCGCCAGGTAGCATGTGCGATTGAGGAAAATCCATCATCTCATCATCCTGTGACGGACGGAAAGCCGCCGGCGGTGCGACGTTGGACAATGGGGCAGCAGTAGGAAGGTCGAGAGTGGTGTCAAACTCAGTCTCTTCATCGGAATCGTCTAGTCCGTAGGTTGTGAAATGTTCCACGGAAAAGACCCAAACTCCCGTGTCCACATCGTAGCTTTCATAAGTGGTGTCGACGATGCGCTTAAGCCGCTCAATGTGCTTGTTGAAGCGCTTGGGGTCGCTGGCGACTCTCTTGTCTCGACCACCGCGAGGCCAAGATTGTTCCAATGTTATCCTGGCAGGCACATTCAGCCCCTTTCCGACAGGAGGCTTCTTCGCCGCAATGGGGTAGACGGTTGCAGATCGAGGTTCCAGCTGGATAATACCGCCGCAAAGCTCATCCAAATCGATACCACTGATATCCACAGGGATCTTGAAGGTAATGTGACCGACATTTTCTCGGCCAACAGTGAAGTTGTCAATCCGTTGTCGCTGAATTCTATTCATATTCTGAATGTCCTCTCGCGAAGGGTCCATCCAGTATTTTCCTGGAGCATTGTCGAAACCGTTGGCCTGGGGCTCGGGGGTAGCACTGTCTTCCTCTTGAACAATGGTCAATTCCTTGTCCTTGCCCTTGCCCTTAACCTGCTCCATTTCGGGAGTCCAAAGTCCGTTTGTGGTGGGAGTAGACTTGTCCGATCGGGGAGTATCCTCGCCAGGAGTTTCTGGTACATCGCCTGGAGCCGGTAGTGCTCGCACAGGGGTAGAATCTTCGCCATCTACATTGGTATCAAAACTAACGCGCTTAGCTAGTTTTCGTGGGCCGGTTCCGTTATCGCCATTCCGCCCATCCTTGTTCGGCGTAGCGAAGAGGTCGCTTCTTAGTTCGCGGTTGATAACCAGCTTCTTCGAGCCCGTGCTTCCATACCAGCGCGTGTTGTTAGTGTTCGAGAAGGCGCCAGGTAGGAGAATACTGTCGTCAGCATTGACGGTACGGCGCAGATTGCTTGACGATATGCTCTTGCTAAGGGCGGTTCCGCTGCTGCTGGCGCCGAGTAAGTTACGGCCCAGAGTGCTGGGAGTGCCAGAGAGACCTGCAGGGTTTGCTCCTCCAGGAGACCCATAGCTGCTGTAAGAAAAACCGAACCCTCTCTTTTGAGGCGTGCCAAAACGGCCCGATGCCGCAGGTGTAAACTTGTACATGGGGAAGATGGACGGTCTCTTGGGCTTCGGCTGTCCGCTCAGGGGCACCGCGAGTGGACCAGGGTTAGGGACGTCGCCTCCACTAATTCCGGAGAACAACGACGGTGAGCCATATGCCGACACGTCGCTCAAGTTGGCAGTGAGACCTTGTGGCGCGTTGTTAACTGCTTGAGAAGCTCCTAGCAAGGAACCGCCGAGGCCTATACTCTGCTGCTGTTGGGCACCAGCATTGCTGAAGATGCCGCCTTGAGTTCCCGCTGCACCGCCACCGAACATTCCCGTACCCGTCGCCGCGGGCGTAGATCCAAAGAGGCCAGGCTTCTGCTGATTCGCGGCTGAACCAAAGAGGCCGGTGCCAGCAGCTTGCTGGGTCGTGTTGGCACCGCCAAAAAGGCCACCACCTGTGCTAGCAGCGGCAGGCGCAGAGCCAAAAAGGCCACCTGTTGCAGCTGGCTTAGCTCCAAAAAGGCCTCCAGTATTCATGCCT